ATAGCTCAGTGGTTAAGGGCAGAGGACCAGAGTTTGGTTCCTAGAACCCACGTTGGGTGGCTCACAACTGCATGTAACTCCAGCTCCAGGGGATCTGACACCCTCTTCTGGCCTCCATGGGCAACTGTACACTTGTGGCATACACTCGCACAGACACATACACATAAATGAAAATAAATCTTTAAAAAAATGTAAAGCAAGGGGCTCAGTGCTTAAGAGCACAGGCTGCTCTTCCAGAAGACCAGAGTTCAGTTCCCAGCATCCAGATGGTGCTAACAACTGTCCATAACTCCAATTCCAGGGGATATGATGCCCTCTTCTGGCCTCCATTGGCATTGCACACACATGGTTCACTTACATACATGCAGGCAATACACTCATATACCTTAAAAAAATAAATTTTTTAAAAATGCAAAACAGGCCAGGCATGGTGGTGCACGCCTTTAGTCCCAGCACTCAGGAGGCAGAGGCAGGCGGATCTCTGTGAGTTCAAGGCCAGCCTGGGTCTACATAGTGGGTTCCAGGACAGCGGGGGCTTCAGGGAGACCCTTTCTCAAAAAAAAAAAAAAAAAAAAGTAAAAAAACAGGGGACTAGAGAGATGGCTCAGTGGTTAAGAGCACTGATGCTCTTGCAGAGGACCTGGGTTCAATTCCCAGCACCCACATGGCAGCTACGAACTGTCTTTAACTCCAGTTCTAGGGGAATCCAAAGCCCTCTTCTGATCTCCGCAGCACTGCACAACATGGATACACTCACATACATGGAAGCAATATTCTCATACACATAAAATAAAAATAATAAAATAAAAATGTAAAACAGTGGGGCTGGAGAGATGGCTCAGTGGTTAAGAATACTGGTTGTTCTTGCAGATGACCTGGGTTCAAATCCCAGCACCCACATGGCAGCTAACAACTGTCCATAACTCCAGTCCCAGGGGATCCGACAGCCTCTTCTGTCCTCTGAGGGCATTGCACAACACAGGTGCACTTACCTACCTGCAGGCAATGCACGCATACACATAAAATAAAGATTTAAATTTTTTTTAAAAAAAGGAATTAAAAAAAATGTAAAACAGTGTCTCCTGTAAGTAATTACTTTAAAATGAAGGACATGGTTGTTTCTAGTAGTTAGAATATGGGTACTATTTCCTATATACTTTTTAAAATTTTGTGTATGAGTGTTTGCCCACATCCAAGTGCACCCATATCATGCAATGCCCACAGAAGGCAGAAGAGGGTGCTAGATTCCCTGAAACTAGATTTATGGACAGTTGTCCACTGCCATGTGAGTGCTGGGAACCAAACCTGGGTCCTCTGCAAGACATCCAGTGCTCTTAATTGCTGAGCCACCTCTCCAGTCCCTATTTTAATTTTTTTTTTTTTTTTTTTTTTTTTTTTTTTTTTTGTCTTTTTGAGACAGGGTCTCCCTGTAGCCCCAGCTGTCCTGGGACTCACTATGTAGACCAGGCTGGCCTTGAACTCACAGAGATCTGCCTCCTAAGTGCTGGGACTAAAGGCATGCACCACCATGCCCGGCTCCTATTTTAATTTTTAAATTATATATATGTTTGTGTGTTCAGGTTTGTACACGTGAGTGCAGATGACAACAGAGGCCAGAAGAGGGTGTCAGATCCCCTGGCACTGGAGTTACAGGCTGTTGTGAGCTGCTCAATGTGGGTGCTGGAGCCAAACTTGGCTTTTCTGAAAGCAGTGTGCACTCTGATTAAGAAACATCCAGAACACTGGTGAGGCCCACCATTAAGTATGTATGTGAGGTTGTTCCCAGAGAGGTTTAACTAAGAGGAAAGACCCACCCAAATGTGAGTGGTAACTTCCCATGGCCGGGGTCCTGGACTGAATAAAAAGAGTAAAAGAAGGAAGTTCACTGAGTACCAGTGTGCCTGACTGTGGATTTGTGTGACCAGCCACCTCATACTCTTGCCACCAAGCCTTCCCTATGATGGACTGGATCCTCTCAACTGTGAGTCAATATAAACCCTTCTTCCATTAAGTCCTTTTTGTCTGTTATTTTGTCACAGCCCAAAACAGAGAGGAAGAGCCTGGGTCACTGCCTAAGAGTTACAAAGCCAGTCCCTTCCTCATCTTAGGGTGAAGGGCGCACTACATTTTTTGGAAAGAACACAGCCCTCTGAAACTTAGGGATAATTAGCATTATCTATTCTATATAGAGACTATGTCTTTTCTGTTTATAATGTGAACCCTGGGCTGCCCCAAAAGACAAGAGGGCGACTCCAGGTACCAAGGAGAGCTCCCGCTACTGTCTGTCCAATCCATGCAATCTCCCCTACCCGGTAATATTATCCACTATTTTGTTACTGTGACCAAGTGCACAGTAATGCACTTGGTTTATTTGATGGGGTAGGCATGCTGGTGGTCAGAGCGTGAAGTAGCTGGTCACACTGCACTAGCTAAGAAGCAAAGAATGGGCAAGAAGAGGGGCCAAGCTCACCCCCCAGTGATGCACTTCCTTCAGTGAGGCTCTGTCTTCTAAAAGTTTCAAAATGGCACCCGCAGCTGGCAACCAAGTGTTCAAACACATGAGCCTATGGGACACTTTACACATTCAAAGCATAACACCTGTCCTCCCCACCAGAGAGTTAGGAAGGTCTGCCCCATCTTTCTAAGAAAACACTCTCAAGAAGACTGCCTCTTGTCCAAACTCCACTGGCGCTCAGACTGGCTGCAGCTGGCAGGCCCAGAGATGTACCTGATGGTTACTGTTAGTGGCAGCTCAACATCGATGGACGTGTCCAAGCAGACCGGGGTTTTTGGCGAATGTTTTCGTGGTTAAGCTTGTTAGGAAAATAGGATTCTCTGTCCTCAAAGGGTTCTCCTACCAACAGAGTATCATCTTAGAGTCTATGAAGTTTAATCACAGCATGGAAAGAATTCACTACTCATTTTGTAAGGGCTCTGAATATGTAGGTTTGGGGAGAGTGGAAAGTGGTGGGTTCTGAGTTCTGGTCCAACACAGCCTGTTCTTGCTTTGAGGCTGGGTGCACTTGCTATAGCCTTCTATTTGTGGGAAGAATCTCAGGGCACAAACCTCCCAGTTCCCCCTAGAGACCAGACCCCTCTGATGGCCTGTCTCTACCATCTCTACACCTGCAGTCTTTTCCTCAGGGCCACCCTTCAGCCTCTCTCTGGTCACTCCGCTGTCTTGGTGGCTCTGGTGCCCCCACATTCCTGACATCTGTTCCTTCCTCTTCAACTCCAGCTTCCTGATGTTTTTTCTTGGGACGTTTCAAGGACAACAAAAACTCAAAATTAAACTCCTCCTCCTCTGCAAGCTGCTATCCTCAGTTTACTCAGCAAACCTGTCTCAGCACCCCTACTTGTTCACTGAGGCCAATTAGACACCAAGCTCTGACAGCCTCTTCCCCACCTGAATCCTTAAACTGATCCTCCCATTTACCCTGACAAAATTCCAGGTTCCTCTATTACATCAGTGCCAGAGATAGCCAGAGAGGCCAACCTGTTACACCTAAGGTCACCCAGTGACAGGGCCTCTAGGCCCATCAGAGCACATCGCCACTTGGCCAGCTTTTAGCCAAATAGGCTGGAATGTGCGAACATGTTCCAGAGCCAGGCTCAGCCTAGGTGGCTTCACCTGACTCTAACATCCCATTATCCTACCCATGTGGCCATTTTTCCATTCCTTTATTTGCAAAGTATTTCATGACCTTGTAACTAGCCATCAACCTGATGGGATTTAGAATCACCATGGAAACAAATCTCTGGGCATTACCTGTCAGCAGTTTTCTAGATTAACTGGGGTGGGAAGACCTATCCTGAATATGGGCAGCACCACTCCACAGGCTGGGACAGAAACTGAGAAAGTGAGCCAAGCATCTCTGCTCCCTGACTTGAGGATGCAGTGACCAGCCGCCGCTGGGTCCTGCCACCACACCTTCCCTTCCATGATGGACTGTCCCTTCAACTGTGAGCCAGAATAAAACTTTAATTGCTTCTTGTCAGGTATTTTATTAAAGCAATGAGAAAACTAATCCACCCTCTGTAAATGGCCTTGTAAATATATAAATATGGATTTTTAAACCAATTTTTCAAGGCTTGAATTAACAGCTTCTTTCTTCTGAAAACTGAGTGTCACAGGCCCTGTGGAGGTGATATAGAGCCACACCAGAGACAGCACAGGCATTTGGCAGGTATGGAGGACAGGAGAGGCTCCTCACCTAGGCAGCTTGCCTCTGAACTCTCTCTTGCTTCTGCTCTTCAAGATGTCCCTTTCTGGGTTGGGGAGGCAGTTCAGCACCTGCATAAGTATGAGGACCCTAGTGCAGACCCTCCAGAAACCATGTAAAAAGCCAGGTGCAACCCCAGCACTGGGGAGGTGCAGACAGAGGGCTCCCTGGGCCTTGTCGGTCAGTCTAGCTGAATCGCAAGCTCCCCGTTCAGAGGGACCCTGATACAGAGCAACTGAGAAAAACATGCCACATTGACCTGTAGTCTCTACGTGCACACACATCCCATGTCCCTTTCCAATGACCCTGGACTCACAGCAGCGGAGACAGGGAGCATGAGCAGCAACCCACTGCAGGCCTGAAACACTGTGGGGTTCAGAAAGCCCTGGACAGTCCTTGCCTCGGTTCCGCACCATCTAGCCACCAGCCTTGGTCAAAATTAATCTTGCTGGTCTGACTTCTCTGTAAAACAGCCAGGCAGCTACAAGAATTCCTTCAAGCTCTAGACTGGTGGCAACCCCCCCACCCTGGTGTCCCAGCTGCCCATCTATAGAAGGGAACAACAGAGGAGACACGAGCATCCAAGTCTGTGATTCATGAGCTTGATAAAGGGGTGCTGGCACGTCCAAGGAACCACTTCAGTTGAAAGAGGGACATAGATCCAAAAGAACATGACAGAGAAGCTGAGGCCGGGGGTGGGAGTGGGGTGGGGCTGGAGAGGGACGGCAACGACGACGACAAGTCCAGACAACACTGAACACACACAGCGCAGCAACCTGCTGCCCATTAGAACATTTATTTCTCAGAGAGAAAATAAGTTTCCCGACAGTCATTATTATAGTAGGTAAAATTAACTCTTGTATTCTTTACAGGCATAGATTTTTTTTTCTGTTTATTACCTCTCTTATACCATCTGTTATAAACAATTCTAGAAAGCAAATAAAGTCACTTTCTACAATAAATAGAGCATCGTGTGCTTTGCAGCAGACGCGACAGAGGCACGCAGGCCCCATGCCACAGCAGGATCTGAGCCGTTCCCATTCTAAAAGAGCAGTCTTAAAAATGAGACTCAGAGAAGAGTGAAAGATTCCAAGAGATTGAAAAACAGAGACAAGGAAGAGTGGGAGGAAGGAGACAGAGAGGGAGAAAGCCCCGAGGTCTTACAACACAGGTTTAGACGAAGGTCACAGAGTCCACACTGACCAACTACCTGGGGAGAGGGGATGGACGCGTGGCTCCTTGAACTAGACCGCACCGCATGGCTGCACAATGGACTCCCGCTTGGAGAGTACAGGTCTGAAATAACTTAGAACAGTATCTACAGTTATATACACCGCGAACTTCCCTAGCCATTGCTGCGTGGCTTACTGTACAGAATCCCAACCTCTCCGAGTTTTGTTGGTTCCCTTTTAAACTCTGGCTCGTGTCCCCAATGTGTAAGAAGTTGGTGGCTGGTTGGCTGGATTTTTAAAAAGTATGTAGAAATGGCAGTGGTCTTGCCAGGGACTTTGTCTTGTCCAAAACTCCCCTATGAAAAATTTAAAACAATTAAAAATAACATCAAGTTAAAAATCAACATGGCGATCAGCAGCCTGCAACCCAGCCCCACAACTTTGGTGATCAGGAGGTGGAAAGAAAGGTCGAGAGCAGGCGGCAAAGCCTCTGAAACGGTCGGTTTGTCAGTCAGCACTCTGCACTCACAGTTCCTCTACTTCTGTTTTCAAGGAGAGGGAGCAGGCAGAGGTGGGGAGGAGGGTTGGAGGCAGGTGTGAAAGAGAAGGGTTGTGCTCCCTGCTCTGGGACGCAGAGCCAGGTGGGAGGACGCTGGAGGGCAGCGCTGAGCCATCCTCAATGACACAGACCGAGGCCTAAGGCTGCAACTGCGGAAAGAAAAAGCCCTTGAGGGGAGGAAAGGAGAGGGGCAGACACACCAGCCGAAGGGGGCACTCCACCCTCAACATCCGAGCAAAGAGGGCTGCTGCACCCTGGTCCTGTGTGCTACAGGGGCTGACCCTTGACCTCCGCCCACCTCAGCACAAGGTGGAGCGGGCAGGAGGCCACTCCATCCGCAGGGCACATGGCTGGGGTCAGCGTGTCAGCAGCAGAAGGGGAAGTCTAGGCATCGGCAAGGCATGCTGGTGGTGGACAGGGTCCTCAGGGTGGGCTGGCTCCTGCCTGGGGCTCGGGGTGCCTAGCAGACACCCAGCTAGCATAGCAGCTGGCCAGGAAGGAAATGAGACACTGAAGAAAAAGACCAATTTGGTGATGTCGCTGTCAGTTTGGCACAAGAGTGACAGTGAGGAATGCAACATGGGCAGGAGACCTTGGGAAGAGGTGAGGGTGGGGACGAGGGGAGGTCGGTGGGTTCCCGAGGGACCCTGGCACATCTCTGGGATCAGTGTCAGAACCTCACTGGCCCTGAGGTGTGGTCAGCTGGAGGGGTACAGAGGGAGGAGCTCAGGATCTGTCACCTTCTGGATCAGGTCCATCTCCCTGGCTGGGCCCGAGACCCTCAGCTGTTTCTACTGCTAAGTGGTTCTTCAGTGGAATATCCCGAGGGACCGCGGGGTGGGGGCAGGGGGGAGGAGTTTTTGGCACACAGCGGGAACCATGTGATTGGTCAAAACGAGGGCCTTGCCCTTGGAGACAGTCAAGCCTGGCTTCCCAGGACAAGGAGAGCTGCCAGCCATATGCCTGGGGGGGCACAAGAGGTTTCTCATGCCCCAGGGACTGAGAGGCAGGGCAGGCAGACACAAGCCCAGGCCCACTCTTACAGGTAGTTGGAGGTGACAAAGGAGTGGGGTCCACGGACTCGGCTCAGATGGATCATTGCACGGTCATAGGCCACCTGCACTGACTTGCGGATACTGGTCTTGCGGCCTTCCAGCATCTTGAGTTTGTCCACAGTATCCTCCACACCCAGCGGCAGGACTTTGTCCCTTGGAAGCCACTGCCTGAAATGCAAGCACAGCTGAGATGCAGCTCAAGGGGATCCTACAGAGGCTCCTTTGGGCTCAGCTGCCTGGTCAAGGAGAGGAAGGTTCCCTAGAACACCCCATACAAAAGCCACTAAGAACCAGGCAGGAGGAGGTGGCATGAGGGGTGGAGTGGGGGCATACAGTATGGAGGACCTGTTTGGCAGCTGGTCCTTTATTCTGTTTTGAGAGCCAGGAGAGACCCTGCTGCTATCCAGGGGCAGGCTAAGTGGCCCTGGACTCTGAGCCTCGTCCTGCCTTAGAGAATTGGGGCACTATGGCTAGGATGCAGAATGGGTTCCAGGAACCCAGGGATCTCCTGAGGCCTGCACTCCTGTGTTCATGCACATGTGCACACACGCACATGAATACTGTGTTTAAACTCCTGTGTGGCTGAAGGTGTGGCCTTCACAGCCAGATCTTGATCTGCATCCCAGTTCTGGTAATGGGGTCTTTGCTGGGTTTTAGCTTCCTAGATACGACAAAGTGGACTGTGAGAGGGTTAAGGGTTAGTGGCATTAAGCAAGAGCACATAAACACCCAGAAGGCAGCAGGTGGCACCACCATTTCTGTCATGAGCGGCTCAACTTCCTGATGGTACAGAAGAAGAGGTGACAGCACTTGTAGAAACCACGGGCCATCAAGCCCCTCGTAGAGGCACCATACCGCCCAGACTCCCTGAGGCCTGGGATGCAGTTTCCCTCTGCTACTGGGAGTAGAGAGTGTGGCTTTAAGCGCTCTCTCTCCAGGAACCAGCTACCATGGAGCTGCCTGCCCAAGGTCATGCTCCTCGCCAGGGACAGCAGGCACTCAGTGATTGTCGGTCTATGGGCGCAGAGACATCCCCAATTCCCAGCCCCTCTCCTGAACTCTCTTCAGAGGAAAGCTAGGGCCTCTACTTCAAGTGTGCTGCCTGGAGCTACAGCCTTTCATGCACAGCACGCACAATCTCCCCCTCATAGTGCTCCCCAGGGAGTCCCACTTTACCCTTACTCTAAACACTGTGAGTGTCATCAGGAACAGTCACCATGAACAAGCAAGGCCTCTGCCTTCACAGGGGTGGAGCCTGCACCCTGGCACGGCTCCTCTGGCAACCAGTCTCTACCACTTACCAGGTACGCTTGTTGTCAAAGAAGAGGACAAGGAAGAGCTTCTCTCCAGCCTCTGCCTGCCTCTGCTCTCCCAGCTTCAGCACGTCCAGTGGAGGGACAGGGATGGGGACGCCATTGTGCAGGAGGCCCTCCCGGGGCATCTTGGGGTCGATGATCTGGAAGCAGAAAGAGAGACAGGCACTGAGTCAGGGAGAGCAATGGGGTCACCACCAGGCACCCTGAGTATGGAAGAGCTCAACTCTGCACACCACCAACTACTGGAGAGGCTGACACCTGTGATCCTTGGCACCCCAAAACAGAAATCTTAACTGCTCCCCAGTTCACCACCCTACCCTCCTTCCCAGCTTGTTCAGTCAGTCTTTCAGATGAGAGGACTTGCTCAACAGACTGAGGAGGTGCCCTTGATGTCCAAGCCCAGTATCAATAAGGAAGAGTAGTGGAGGCCATTTTTCCCTCTCGCTTTCTCTTTACAACCCTGTGATTCACCGCTAGCACTCAGGGGTCTTGCCCTACTGAGCACAAGGCTATGAAGGGTCAGCACCAGCCACCGGCTTGCCTGTGGTTCTATGCGACAGCCTCTGGCTACCTACTCCCTCCCCGTGGGGTCCTGGGCCAGATGCCTCTGTGGTAAGATCAGAGAGGACACAAGAACACAGCTAAGAGGGCCGGGCTTCAAGGAGAGGTGAGTCCCCATGGCAGAGGACTCTGGAAGAACGCTGCTGGGCCTGACTTCTTGCTCAGCTAAATGCCTAGTGGCGTCAACACAACTATCATTTTCCGGGTCTGGGGAGTACTTTCCATTCCCAAAGCTCCTAACTACCCACACACCACCTCACTTCCATCTCTGGTTGAGGCCGGGAAGTTTGCTGACAGGTGTTAACCGACAGGGAAACACGAGACCGGGAAGAGGATGGAGCTGCAGATGCCAAAGCTGAGACTGAAACCAGATGCCTGGTGAAGGCTGAGGCTGCTGCTGCAGTGGCCTCTAACACAGCCCCTGCCCCCAGCAGCAGCTGGCTCTAACCCCTGCACACGAAGGCCAGAGAAGCCTGGACCTGAGCAAGCAGACTTCTCTAGAAATGGACAACCCTGACGCCTATGTCCCACCCCAAGGGGCCTCTCATAAACTGCTCTCACAGTTAACCTTTGGGCACCTGCCAGTGTCCCCACATCCCTCCCCAAGATAAGCGGCTGAAAGCAGGTGCTCTGGTTAAGTTTACTCCAAGCAAGAACCTCCCCTACCCTACCCACTGGCTCTGTGGGTCAGTCAAAACTGTGTCCCAGCATCGCTCCCGAGGGGACTGAAGCCATAGCGCTCAGGCGAAAACTCCTAACAGCCCTCTGAGCTTCCTCAACTATCAAGAGGCAGTGGGGCGACCCCGCTCTGTCTCCACTTGGACACGCTGGTTCATGAGTGAGTTGTGGAAAAAAAACTCCTGAGGGCAAGATCAAGGTAGGTAAGCCTGCCATCTGAGGACAGCTTTTAGACCCCCAAAGAGTAACAGTCCATTCACTCAGTGACTGCAGACTGAAAACAGCATGGGACCAAAGCTTGTGAAAAGACCAAAGGTATCAATAGGTATGTACATACACGGTTACAACTGCGATAGATGAACAGTACAAATCTCAGAGCCAACATGTTAGAACTGGGAGATCTGTGTTGCTTTCTCTTTTTCCTGTCTTTCCAAAACTTCTATATGTACATTACTTTTCCAAAAACTAAAACACAACACACAAAGCCCCCATATGTTTAAATGACAAGAGATTAAAACACAACATACAAAATATATATGCATAGAAAAAGGACTGGAGGGTGTGAATCAAAAATAAATAAACAAATGAACATACACAGGTTGTGTTCAGATGGGGGCTGGATTTCTTCTTTGTCTTTTCTTTTTTTTTTTTTTTTTTTTGGTCTTTTTGAGGAAGGGTCTCCCTGTAGCCCCAACTGACCTGGAACTTGCTACATAGACCAAGCTGGGCTTGAACTCACAGAGATCCACTTGCCTTTGCCTCCCAAGTGCTGGTATTAAAGGCGTGAGCCACTACGCCTGGCATGCTATATTTTTTTTTAAAGGATTTGTTTGGACTGTCCCTCTTAACATTGTGAGACTTTAAAAAACAAAACCCCTAAACATGCCAGCATTAATGACTTCCCCGATGACTAAGCTGGGGCCCTGTGGGCTGCCCCTGACTGTCTCCAGCTACTGGGTCAGTGTGAGTTTTCACACCTGCCACAGCTCAAGAGAGGGAAAGGCAGGCAGGCAAATGGTTCCCAGTACAGCTCCAGGAAGCTTTGTCATCGAGACAAGGCTGTTGGTTGGTTGGTTGGTTTTTGTTTTGTTCTCTGTGTGTTTTCTTTATTTTTATTTATTTAGAGACAGGGTCTCCCTGTAGCCCCAGCTGTCCTGGAACTTGCTAGGTAGACCAGGCTGGTCTTGAATTCAGATCCACCTGCCCCTGCCTCCTGAGTGCAGGGATTAAAGGCATGTGCCACCAAACTGGCCTGAAACAGGTTTTTTTTTTTTTAATCTGTTCCAGAGTTCCTCTCTACTTAAAATCTTAAGAGGCTGCTGTTAGGCTCAAGAGGAGAGGGCTTGGGGAAGCCCAGAGCTTGGAGTGCATCTGACAGGCTACACCCACCCAGGGCTACAGATCTTCTAAGAAACTTCTGAAGAAAACACTCATGCCTCAGTCTTGCCCCTGGAAGGCCAATTTGGTAGTTCTTGGGTGAAGCTGACTTTACCTATTATTTAAAAATCTCCCCAGATGGTTCTCACATATACCAAAGGTTTAGATTCTGTGCTATCTCTAAGAACTGGTAGCCATCTCCTCTCCAACTGAGAAAGAGCTTTAGAAAATAGCAATCAAGGAGGTAAAAATGGACTCTAATACTCCCATGCCACTGCTCATGGCAGTGTAAACCAGAACTAACTTCCAGGCATGTGGCAACTTGTATCAGAACCTTGTATAGGCTTCGCCTCTAGAAGGCACTCCTAATGAATAATCACGAATGTGCACCACAGTAAGGCTACCAAGTTCGCCGTCAACTGTTCATCACAGAGAAAAGGTCAGTCTAAGAGTAACTAGCACATGGCTGTAACGCGGTACGTGAGAACAATGAAGGAGGAAGCAGTCATCAAGTGATGCGACGAATGTTTATTCACATGAGACGGACATGTTCCAGTATGCTATTAGATGAAAAGAGGTTCAAAACACTATTGCTTCATGCATGCATACCTCAGCATGAAAAACAAAGTCAACGCAGATACGGCAAGTTATTCCTGAGTGGACAGAACTATTACGATTTTTTAACTCAATGGCTCAGAACACATATTTTGATCAAATTCCAACCCTGCCACTTATCAGCTGGCTGACAACGGGTAACAGGCCCTGTTCTCTTCCCTGAGAAACAGCAATAACCACACTGTCCTTAGCAGCCAGGCATTATTAGCAGATTTTAAATCTCTACACTAGGCCCGCTACTTCTACACACAAGGAAATAAACAAATGCTAGTGAAGCCACAGGAACCCTGGTCTTTGCACACCTGTAGGTTATGTTAAGCGCTCCCAGGAGAGAGCCTTGCTGGTTTGCCCCACCACAGGCTGGGGTAAAGCCTCCCTCCCCTCTGCAGTTAAAGGCACCCTGACTCCCACTACACACTGCTGGCTTATGCCAATCAGATAAGCCCCCAAGGCAAGACAGGGGCCCAGAGAGGCAGGTAGGAGGGTGGCGTCTGGGGCAGACTCACCAAGGCAGGGTAGGAGGGGTAGCCTCGGCACTTGGCCCACACCAGCTCCAGGGGCTCCAGGTCTCCGCGGTCTTCAAAGGGCATCAGGAGGCTTCTGCCTGGGGGTGGGGGAGGGGAGGAGACAGTGCCCAAAGGGGACTTGGCATGGTGCTCCAGAGCCCGACCTGTGCCTTCCATCTGACTGGGGCAGCCCAGGAGTGAGTCAGCAACGCCCCCTCCACCCCTCCTTTTCCTTAGGAGTTCTCAGACTGGGTCAGGGGTCAGCAAAGTAACACTGTAAATGGCCAAATAGTAAATCCTTCATGCTTTGAGTGGCCTTGTGGTTCCTGTCCCAACTGCTCAGCATGCAAGTGGCAGCACGCAAGGAGCCAGTCTCCACATAAACGAGCATGTCTGTGCTCCGATAAAGCTTGTTTCTGATGCTGAAATTTGAATTCCATGATTTCCACCTTATAAAACATCATCATCCTTTTGATTTTTTTTTTAATAATTTAAAATGGAAAACCATTCTTAGTTCACGAGCCATACAACATAAAAACAGGCAGCAGGTCATGGTTCACCAGCCTCTGAGCTTGAACTCTAGGACAGCTTTCCTTAGGAAATTTTAACCCCTTCATCCCCAGGGCCTCTCAGGGAAAAGGGCTGTACCCCAGCTTGGGCAGAGACACATAACCACTGTCTGCACCCCTTGAGTGGGGAGTCCTCCCAACAGAGGCTTCATGGGAAAAAATTGCCCGAGAAGAGCATCCCACTAGAACCACTTGCTAAACGCATTCTTTTCTGACCAGGCCACACTGGACCATCCCGGCACCTGGCTGCACAGCGACCAGCAAAGCCAGCAGGTCTGCAGGTCTTTCCCACCCTAGTGTCCCAGTAGTTGCACCTCCTCAGCCTCACCAGTGCTCCTGAGCGCCAGAGAAACCACACCTGCAGACGGGGAACAGGAGGTGGCTGTCCACCCAACTAAGGAAAAAGGCCCACATCTCAGAGTGGCAATTATAGTTCTCAGGTATTATTAGCACAATCATTTTTAATCAAGACTGAAAAAGAAAGGTCCTGTTTTGACTCCAGTGAGTGACACAGCACTGACGATAAACAGATAAAACCCAACACGGAAGGAGGCGGCCACAAGCCAGTGCGCTCCACAGGCTGAGGAAGCTGGAGGCCAGTCCAAGCCTTTGGAACACAATTTGGTGGCGTGTCCCAGGAGCCGCTACAAAAATATATGAACCACCTGCTCCAGGAAGTTCCTTCTTTGGCAAATTTACTATAAGAAAAGTAGCTTTTAAAGGATTTGAACAAAAATATGAGTTCATTGTATTATGTACACTGGTAAAATTTGGAGATAACCTAAATGTCTCACAGAATACTTCAGTGAATCACAAAGCATTGTTATACATACTGTTCCAGTAATATGAGATAAAGATTATGAGCCAATACGAAAAACAGTAAAAAAAAAAAAATGCAGAATACAAAAGTGAGTGTGTTTTAGATTAGCACTTTATTAAAATGTGCCTAAAATAACCAGAAGCCAACAGAGAAATGGAGATAATTATGTTAACGATGAAACTATGGGAGGTCAATTTCCTTTTTAAATATCCTTTGGCATCATTTTTAGTATCTGGTTTAAAAAAAAATGACACCACCGGAAGCACAAAGTGTGCTGGCCCAATGCCTGGTTTCAATTAGATGCATACAAATTCACCCAGACACAAGGCCTGTCTTCTGGGTACCACAGTCACAGAAAGTGATGAAACACAAAGGCATGCATCCGTCAACACACACGCGGGAAGGGGAGGATGTCAGCAGAAGGAAGCAGTCGGGCAAAGGAAAGAGGTAAAGAACCCTGTGAGTTGGATGGAAACTGGATCCAAAGTACACAAGGCTAGACAAGTCAACAGAGAAACAGCCTGCTCTGTGCCTGCTCCACCTGGGAACCACCCTAGGCCTCGCCTCCTGCCCCTGCCTTGCCCTCTATTTCCACTGGCCCAAACAGACCAAATCCAAGAGTGTTAAAAGTGAGTCACTGACTACTCTTGAGAGCACAGACAAGCAACATCAATCAAAATTACAAATACACCCCTCCTTCAATCTACCAGTTCTTTTTGTTGGTTGGTTGGTTGGGTTTCGAGACAGGTCTTAATGCGTAGCCCAGCTGGCCTAGAACTCACAAAGATCCCTCTGCCTCACATGCTGGGATTGAAGGGGTATGTGCCAACATGCCCAGAAAATCTAACAGTTCTACTTCTAAGGCTATAGTCTCTCTGTAAAATGACTTATGCATACACAAGGTTTCTCAATGCTAACAAGTAAGTGGAAACAATTTAAATCTGTATCACTGGAGGCCTAGCCAAACAAAGAAGAATACTCCTATATAATGGGGCACTGGGTAACCAAGGTCAAGGAAAGGCTCTCCAAGGTATACCATGAACTAGAAAGGAATGACTTAGAGGAACGTGTGCTGGGCCTGGACCGCTCTACTCCTCTCAGACACATGGGTTCTGGCTTTGTATACATTGAACAGCTCTGGAAAGACAAAAAGGAAAACGCTAGCAGCTGATGTTCCAGAGGGAGGAGCACTGGCTTCCATTAGATGCCTTTCTGATTTCTGTTACCGTGGGCATGTGTTAACTATTCAAACTGAAGATGAATTATTCTTTTTAAACAAGTATGACTGGCCCAGGAGGGCCATCTTCCTGACCAGTGTCCAAGAGTATGGGCCCCTCACAGACACAGGCTGATTCTGAGACCCCGCAGTGCAGCAGCCTTCAAAGAGTTGGCTCCTCAGATTTGATCCCCCCAGCTGTGCCTGAACACAAGCCTCACCTGAGCCACTGTGGTCTGAATCTCCATTCACACCTTCCAGGAAGGGCACTCGAGACAGGGCTGGCTTCCCACGGCTGCGCTTCGGAGGCATCAGACTACTGCACACAGAGCAAGGAGAGAGGAGAAATGAGCATTTCTAATGGCTACCACTCGCCACCTGCTTCTCCATCTCTAACAGGCAAGGAGCTGCAAAAGCACAAGGGGGAACAGCGTCTGCACTGCCCCACAGAGTGACATTAACCCACGACACTTGGGACCTGAATTCATACCATCCACCTGGGCGGACTGCTCCCGGCAGAGCCCTACATCCAGAGGAAGGCTGCTGGCCTCTTCCCAGTCTTTGTGGAGGGCTGCTTGCCCAAAGAGGTGCCTCACACCTCTGTCCAGATCTACTCTGTGGTCCACATGCTTCATCTTTAGAAACCAATGTATTTTTGAGGCACCAAAAATCTGCCTCTTTTCCAAATTTTCTGTAACAGGCATGTCTTCCTCCCAGAATTAGCAAAGACATTTTTAAAATACGAGAGAGGGAGATCCACTTCTCTTACTTCCAAATGAGTTTATGAGTGAAGATTTGTTTGGACAGAGATGGATTTTTTTTTTTCCAACTAAAAGTGAGATCCATTATTTTTTTCACATGATTACTGCGAAGAGGGCAGGTGAGATGGCTCAATGAGTAAAGGTACCAAACCTGATGATCTGGCTGCCATCCCCAGGATCCAAATGGTGAAGAAAACAGACTCCTGCAAGTTGTCCTCTGACCTTCATGCACTCCATGGCACACACACACACACAAATAAATTTAAAACTTTTTTCTTTATTACATTTATTTATTTGGTGTGTGCATGTGGGGAAGTATATGGAACTAAACTTAGGTCATCAGGTTTGCTGTCATCTTACCCACTGAGCCATCTTGTCAGCTCCAAATACTTGTTTTGTGGGGTTGTTTTGTTGTTTTGTGTGAGACAGTTTCTTCTATGTAGACCAGGCTGGCCTCAAACTCAGAGACTGCCTGTTTCTGCCTCCTGAGTGCTAGGATTAAAGGTGTGTGCCACCATGCCTGGCATCCAAGTACTTTTTTATTTATTATTTTTGTTTTAAGTGTATGCGTGTATTACCTGCATGTAAGTTAAGTGCACCCATGTCGTGCAATGCCCACAGAGGCAGAAGAAGGGGGCATCTGATCCCCTGGAACTGGAGTTATGGACAGTTGTTTGCTGCCATGTGGGTGCTGAGAATCAAACCCAGGTCCTCTGAAAGAGGAGCCAGTGCTCTTAACCTCTGAGCATCTCTCCAGCCCCCTCAAATACTCTTTTTAAAGAGGTAAAGTATATACTTGACAAAGACAAGGTGCTAAAGCTGAGAACAGCAGCTCCATTGCTGAGGCTGCCGGGCTCTGCATTTGAAACAGCTCCCCACGCAGTCCTGATGCACAACCCTGCTGGGCGCTTCCAATGGTGTGGCTGGGGTTTTCTTCCACACAGACTTAAAAAAATACTACTGCTCACCCAGAGTTCAGGGACCACTGCAGAAGAGGGGGTGGAAAGACCGTAAGAGTCAGGGGAGAGGTGCGTAAACACATGGATAGAGAGTCTTACATGATCCTAGGACCTTGCACATATAAACTTACAGCCATGGTGACAACATGCATACGATCCATGCAAACACAAACAGACGAAAACCCAGCACAGAACTGTGGAAACGGGCAGCAGGCCTCAATCTTAGTCAAAGAACTATTGGGCATCTGATTACTGCTAGCTGAGAGAGAGACTCTAGGCTGACTAGACCCCAGTGGTTGGAAGTGCACTGAAGGGCCTCAGAGGACATTAACTTGACTTGAGAAGGCCTTAACATAAATGACAGAAATGTATGAAATGCACTTGGGGGGAGGGGTTGGGGAGGATGCAGATGGGGAAGGAGGTATGAAGATGATCAAGATGCTGTGTATGAAACACACAAAAACTGAATTTAAAAAAAAAAGCAAAAAAAAAAATGTTCCTGCTTTATAATTTTTCAACCAGAAAAAGCAGTTAAAAGGTAGGCCAACAATTCTCCAGAAAAACAGAAAAAACTTAGGAGACGCTGGGTGGGATAAGCTGCTAGGGATAGGATCGGCTGGAGTATGGTGTGCAGGTCAGTGTGAGAACTGACTTTATACTAAGAAAATGCAGCCCAACCAAAGCCTCAGTAAACAGCAGTTAGTACCTGTTTGGGAAATAACAGTAAACACCAATTCATACTGAAAATCAAGTTCCCACTGTGTAAAAGAAACCTGTCAATGGACAATGAGGATTTGTGCAGATGGAAGGTGCTGGTAATATTAGGAGCGCCTCTCAAAGTTCACATCCGGAATGTGGGGGGCAGCTTCATTAAAATGGAAAAGAACATGGCAGAAGTGGACAAGATGAGGATACTCTGGAGCCAGGCCACCTAGGTTCAAAAGCCAGCTCATTACTTCTGTGAAAAACATGCTCCCTGCGTGGTGGTGTGGGAATTTAGAGAAGCCAGAGAGCATTCAGTGCAACACATACCGTGCACTCCAGAAATGGCTTCATATCTTCAAGTATCACAAACTACACCAAGTGCCAAGAAAGAGCTCAAAAAATATCATGAAGTCAGGCCTGGTGGCGAAGGCCTTTGATCCCAGCACTCGGGAGGCAGAGACAGGCAGATCTCTGTGAGTTCAAGGCCAGCCTGGTCTACACAGTGAGTTCCAGGACAGCTGGGGCTGCAGGGAGACCCTCTCAACAAACGAACAAACAACAACAACAGGCAGCCCAAACCGTAAGGTCCATCTTCCCCACTTCTATAGGACTCACCCAAGAACAGACACCTTATATTACAAAAGTGTCTGGTGCACAGTAGGTGTGGAACCATCAGTAGTTGGATGGGTGACCCACAGAAAGAGGATGTAGCCATGTATTGGTGGTACACAAATATCACCCTAGCACTGGAGGCGTGGAGGCAGGATAAGCAGGGCTCAGTTACAGTTCATGGAACGCAACATTAAATGGGAAGTCAATGAAAAGACCAAAGGAGGGGCGGGTGTGCAAGAGGGACTGGGGGATGGGTTAGTGATCAACACACACCTGTGAGTCCAGTACTCAGGAGGCTGAGGCAGGAGGAGTGCCTTGAATTCAAGGCCAGCCTGTTCCAAAAAAAACAGAACAGAGCTGAAGAGCTGGTGCGTCATTAAAGGCTCAGGCTCACAACTAGAAATACAGAACAACAAAAGATAACATGACTTTGGTCTAACAAATAAGATCTTCCTTCATGTTCTTAGAGTAGAGGGCAGGGAGAGGGGGATGAATGGAGGGAGGGGAAAAGGGAAGGAAGGAGGCTGAACTACAATTGGAGTCCTGAATCTCCCATTTTATTTATTTTTGATTAAAAAAACTGTGTGTGCATGAGTGTGGGTTCTCACATGCAGCGCGTACAGACATCAGAGAACAGTTTGCAGGAGTTGATTCTCCAGTTCCACTGTGTCGACCCCAGGGATTGAACTTCCATCACCAGGCTTGGCAGCCTGGGTCTTTACCAGCTGAGTCATCTCACGGGCCCCTGATCCGAGACCCCACTGAGAACCAGTTATCGAGGGAACACCTTCCAAGGGCACTGCTCCTATCAAGCAGGAGTCCTAGAGAAAGCAGTGGCTGCAGACTGGAGCTGTGCAGAAAGGCAGACACTGCCTGAAGCGTCTAACCTGGCTTGCGCTTGTGACTCATGGAGGGAAGCATGCCCTTCATGGAGGGAGAACAGTCTGCTTTCCATCGTCAATCAAGGGCTAGAAGGGGGCAGACGGCTGACCTCACTCCTACCCCAACTCCAATAAACTGGCCTTCCAGACATTTATTTGCCTACATCGAGTTTTTTCAAACAGTGTTTTGCTACATGGCCAAACGTGAACATAAGGTCCTTCTATCTCAGTCCCCTAGGTGTTGGGGTTACAGGTGTGGGCCACCATGCCTGGTCTAAGGAACTCTGGCTTTGAAGGCCAGAAACACCAACCAGAGAGCAAGCAAGAAACATCTTCTCTTTCTTTCTAGCCCTGGTTAACTATCACCCCACCCCCACCCCTTTGTATTCTAAATGATTTTGACAGAAGGGAGAAGCCAGGGCAATTTTGAGGCTTCATAGGGAGGGAAATCACAGAGGAACCAAAGCAGGAAGGCAGCAAGGGCTGAGATGCGGATGGAGGCTGACACAGCTCCATCTGGAGCCCAGCAGGCGGAAGAGGTAACAGGAGCACACATCTAGCGTGCCTTGCCAGCCTTCGGGCAGATACCAGCCTTCTGAACCTCAGGTCCACTCAGCAGCTAGTCACTTCCCCTTTGCAGGACTAAGGCCCTCTTGCTTCCAAGAGTCCCTCTCTCCAGTGTCTTACAGAACGGAGAATGCTGAGCAGGAGCTTACTAAACTCGTAGACTTGAAAGAAACTAAGGTTCTGGCCTCAGAAAGCCTCCCTTTGGGTTAAAGAATGCAGTACAAGCCCATCTCGGCTCAAGGACCACTGGTAGGCAAACTGGGGCCTTGGGAAAAAAGAGCATTTTAAACTTTATCTTGTTCACCCCTCATTCCGCCACAGTACCTCTGAAGAGGCCACTCCTGTGGACACTGGGTGTGGTGACAGGCAGTTTGTGGCCAGCCCGAGGTACTTAGTAAGAACCTATCAAAAGGCCAAAGGCTGAAGCAGGAATGGCGTGCCTACGATCCCGACACTTGGGAGACTGAGGCGGCAGATCTGGCTTGAGTTCAAGGCCAGCCTGGGATATACAGCAAGAGTCTATCTCAAGAAAAAAAAAAGCAATACAAAAAAGGGCTTGGGTTGTAACTCAGATGTAGGGCACCTGACTAGCACGTGTGAAGCCTCAGGTTCAGTCCCTAGCACCACAAAACAGAAGCCAAAATGACAAAACCAATTCTATGAAGCCATGTCATGTATACAACATGGGTTATCCAGGTGTATATACTGGGTGAACTGGCTCAAACGGTAACTTCACTGAACAGGAAGAGACTAAGTCCCACAAACTCACCCATACTGAACAGACTCGAGAGTCCACAGTGCCCCCCCTTTTCCTCAGAGCTCCCAGCTACGGGCCAGAGGACTCGGGAAACCTGTCACTGACTGGAGAATGAAGGAAAAGGGGCCCAAGGCACTGACAGAGTTTCGGGAATAAAAGTCCTTACCTGCAAGCTTCAAACGCCAGTCCTCCACTGAGACCCAAACTACATTCGGAGTCAGACCCGCTTTCGGTGTGTCTTCCAAAGCCATTGGTCATGCCTGCCAAGGACACACAGAGTGAGAACCTCTCCCTCCCTGGCACATGCCATGGTGTAGGAAGCTGCCTAGGAGGCTGGGGGGAGGGAAGAGCTGTTCCTCCCCTGTAGGGAATGGGTCTTAGGTAGGGAAACCCTGACAGAGATAATGGTTTGGGAAAGATGATGCTAGCCTGGGCAATTTCTCTCTCTCTTTTAAAAAAGGAAAAACACGCAACTGAGTACCAAGGAAAGCCTTCCCTGCCCAGGCAGGCTCACAGGTTGCTCAACTGCTTCTAATTTCATACCTCAATAACCAGGGAGTTTCTCTGCCTCTCGAGGAGCCACCAGCCTTCCTCTTCAGATAAAACACTCACAGGCCCTCCCCATCACCTGGCTGGCAACAGCTAGCTGCTGCTTCAGGGGTGAGGCAGGAGAAGCTGAGGCAGAAGGGTTCAGCGTCAGCAGCCATAGTCGTGGATATGTAGCAGAGCTAGTCAGAGCTAAGGGCAGACTTCTAAGAAGACAGCAGCCCAGACCCTGGGTCTAGGCTGGGCTCTGAAATAGTATGCTGTGTGATGTGAATCAAAGAACCACCATTTATAGCAAGGAGCAAGGAGACTCAGGGGCAGAGGACTGTCTAGTCACCCTAGGACATGACCTTGGTTTCATTCTATGTACCCAATTTTTTTTTTTGTCTTTTTGAAACTGGGTCTCACTAGCCCTAGCTGTCCTGGAACTCACTATGTAGACCAGGCTGGTCTTGAATTCACAGAGATCCACCTGCCTCTGCCTCCCGAGTGCTGGGACTAAAGGCGTGTGCCACCATGCCTGGCTGTATCCAATTTCTAATTCCAGAGTCTACAACTCTGACAGCTAAACCAAGGCTAAAAGTGGACCAGGCATCTGAGTTCAGTGCTGTGACATCTTGGCTAGAAAAGTGTTAGGCAAGTCACACCTGTAAGAGCAAGTGCCTGAGCCAAGATCTCTTTCCTAACCTGGCCCTTCCTGAGCTCAATTTGAGTCAATGATACCAGCTGTACCTCACTTGTAAAGGATCAACACCTATTTTCTGAGTGCCAACTAAGACTGTATAAAAGTACTCCTGGTTGCCAGGCAGCTGGATGGCAGGAAAGGAATAGGTTCCCCAGGCTGTAGGGCCCCAGGTCAGTGGGCCTGTTACCATCAGCAAAGGTTTTCATTTTTTAGTGTAGTGTTCTCCATGCTGTTTGGCTGAGCCGGACACAGATGAAAAGATGACAGTAACTGCTACCACTGACTGCTATATGCGAAGGTCCTTATAGTCCATGTCCAGCCCTTAGTCCTGCAAGGTGGGTACCACTGGCTCCACAGCAGCAAAAAGGAATCAGGCTCAGAAAGGTTAAGTTCCCCTGGGCTACACAGCCAGTAAGGAGGTAGGATCTGAACTCAACTACACTTAACCTCAGGCCTCAAGCTCTTGCCTTTATATACCAAACTTCTGCCCCACTACAGGGAGGAAGGGAAAGTACCCTTGGAGACTAAACATTAGGCAGGAAGAGAGAAAAGCAAGTCTTGGCCACACAAGGCAAAGATACCACCAAGATGATGAGTGACACAAACAGCAAAGGTTAGGGCAGCTCTCCCCACCTTCCCCTGCCTTCTGATCCCACCAAGACTCAACCGCTCTGCCTGCCATTCAGAGCTCCAGCAATGGAGTCGTGGTTCCTGGGGTGGCAGGAAGCCCCCACCAACTAACTGTCCCTGAGAGAATGTCTTCTTCCTTATGGCTCCACATACCACCTTGCTGGAAGCCTGCCCACCTCCAGCTCAAACGCCTCAACAGCTGTAGCAGTGTGACCTGGCACCTGACACCTAACCCCACATTTTTTTGGGTGATTTCTCGGCACCTTGGGGGACCACCATATTTTCAGAATAAACTGGGAACTTCTGCAGAGCTAGGAATGAGTCGGACTTATTCCCTCCCCATCCAGTGTACCCCTTGTGTTGGACAACTAGTCAGGGCACTGGGACCTTGACTCCCACCACCCGCACTACAATCCTGTAGCCACACGGGCCCCTTGCTGCTGTTTTGGACATGCAAGTATGTTTCCAACTCCAGAGCCTGGGCATTTGCCAAGCTGTCTTTTTTGGAATATTCTTCCCCTAGATATAAAAACAGCTCATGCAACCAGTACCTTCTGATATCTGCTCAAATATCACCTCTCAGAAGACCTCTCTAGTCAACCCCTATACCACACAGCACTTTCCATGCCCCATTTACTGCTGGGTTTGGTTTGGTTTCTTTTTCTTCTAATTTAAGAGCCTTTGCTTGCTTTCAGCCTATTTCTTTTATGAAAGAGGAGATTTTCATCTGCTTTGTTCATTCATTTTCCCACAGTGTCTAGGAGTACCTGATAGAAATAGCTGCAGTAAAGGGAAGGCAGAAACCATGTGGCCACCTATAACCTCATATTCCCCTCAAGGCTGGTGACAGCCCAGATAGTCTGGCCCTCGAAAAACAACCGGTCTACACCTGTTTCCCCGGGCTACCACCCATATCGAGGCCCAGCTGTGAGCCACAGAGCCCTTCATGTTACTACTGATGCCCACAAAGGCCACTGGAGCAGCAGCCGACTGGGGAAGGCACTGGCTGGCAAGGCAAAGCAGGGAAACAGATGAGAAACAGCCAGGGAAGTCACAGGCAGGTCACCTGTCTCCTCCTCCTGCTGAGGGGACCTCTCCCCTTCACTGTCGCTGCAGCTCCTACTCCTTGGCCGCTTCCTGGAGTGCTGCTCATCCTCGGTGCTCACTGGAGAGTCGGGAGAGCCCACCATGCCATGGTCCTCACCATTCTCCAGGGCCCCGTCTGGGCTCCTCTGTACTTTCACCCCATTTTTGGCCTTCTTGAAGAGGACTGACGTGCGGCGGCCCACACCACTAAGAGGGGTGCCCGCAGGAGTGTCAGAGGTCATGAGAGACAGTCGATTGAGGCTATTGTCGCTGAGCAAGCACTGCAAGGGCTCGCTCTCCAGCTGCAGAGGTGATTTTTCCAAGAGTTCATTATCTTCTACCTTTCGGGGCTTTAGGGACCGGCTTGAAGGTTTGCTGTCACTGATAGGTTTCAGAGTCGGGGGATCCGGGCGGGATTCTTGTTCAGACAAGGAAGGAGCAGGCCCTGTGGGCTCCAGGGTTGGTGGAGGAGGCAGTTTGGAATCATCTGTTAGAGAAAAAAAGAGCCTGCTTGAACATTTTAGAAGCAGTCTGCTCCTACAGGCTAGATATGGACTCTGATGAGCAAGGACCAAAAGCATGGCTCTCACACAGCCTGAAGAGAAAATCAATCATCAACCTTGCCCAGCCGTGAATCTTACAACTGGCCTGGCAAGATATGCCCACTGGTGCAGTAGTGACACAAACTCTACGGAGGTAACCAACCACTTTCTGATTAGTTGTAGGTCTGTTTAACAAGATGGGAGTCCATATCTGATATTGACATCAGGCCTAGGAACCTGAGGCTATACAGGTTGCAGACCATAGGGGAGAGCTTAACACAATTATTCTGCTAAAAAGATATAATATTAAACTGACACCTACTACCTAACGACTTATTGTTTACCCACAGATTAACGCATCTCTCAGCTCTCACCAGAGAAGCTTCTTTATGCAGCAGATGGTGATTACCACAACTGGCTTACATGCAGAATAAGAGGCTGCAGACTGCTTATCCCAGAATAGGACACACCTTTACAAACTTCTGCCTCCCAAGGCTCAGGGATTATTGCAGAAGATAGGATGGAAAGACTGTAAGAGCCAGAGGCAGTGATGACCACAGGTAAACAGTTTTCCAGACAGCTGGGCAGTTACTCCTATGAACTCACAGCAATGGTGACAGCATGCACAAGTCCCATGTAAGCTCAAGCTGGACAAAATCCCAGCACAGACGTGGGGAAGAGGGTAAGAAGTTCCAACCGTACCTGAGGAACTACTGGCAACTGATGGCTGCTGGGAGGGGGAGAATCAGTTTCATTTAAGGGTGAGACTCTTGGTAGGTTGACCAGGCTCCAGTGGATGGGACCCACACTGAAGGGCATTTGGGGACACAAATAGAGTACATGAAATTGGGCAATGTGTAGTAAGAGGGGCATAGACAGGGGAGGGGATCAAAATATACTGTATGAAATTTGCAAAAATTCAATTTAAAAAAATCTAATGCCTAGATTACACTCCAGACCAAATGAAGCCAAATCACAAACACAGCATCCTTTAAAAAGCTCACAAGGTGAGTCTAAGAAAGTGTGGATTGCAAATACCACGCTACATCTGAAAGCCATCTGTTTAGTCCATAATTAGGTGACAGTTGCTTGACACTGGAGGCTTACAATTCTCACTGCACTTGTGTTTTCTCATCTGTTATCAATTATGTTTCCTATCACCAAGTGAGAGGAAAGTACAGCAGGAAGAAGCAATGGGGGTAGGTTAAATCAGTGGCGTCAAACATTGTGTGGTCCACTTGAATTAAAAATACTGAGACTCAGGCCAAGCGTGATAGTGCACGCCTTTAATCCCAGCACTCGGGAGGCAGAGGCAGGTGGATCTTTGTGAGTTCAAGGCTAGCCTGGTCTACATAGTGAGTTCCAGGACAGCTGGGGATACAGAGAGACCCTGTCTCAAAAAGACAAAAAAAAAAAAACAACAAAAAAAAACTGAGACTCCCAAGCGAAGCCCAGACCTCCCTATCTGAATCTCAGAATTCATTGTGAAACCCTCTTGGTGATAACTGGTGCACATAACTCTGCTTGCCAGAGCCCGGGCGTGAGATTCAAATGATGTGCTGACTGAGACATGAGAGTTACAAAAAGTCACGACATCACAAAGCCTTCTGATGCTACACGTGGCCTCAGCCATGTCCCCATGCTCTGCAGACCTTAAAAAAAATTTTAGAAAAGGGCCAATCTCTCCAATTTGGGCTGTACCAAACAAGAGATAATTCCCAATGTTTTGGACTACTTGAGTGACAGCCCTTCCCAAGCCTTGGGCTTAGATGTAACGGCCCGTAATGAGGGAGAACAACGGGAGGCAGCTCAGCTTATAAAAGGCTCCTGGATTTTGGAGAATCACTTCCCCAACTCCCTAAGACAGGGTACAGTTTTTTTTTCCAAATATTTTATCATTTTTATTTTATGTGTATGAGTGTATTGGCTGCATGGATGTGAGTACACCCGTGTTGTGCAATGTCTCAGAAGTCAGAAGAGGACTTCAGATTCCCCTGGAACTGGTGTTAAGGACAGTTCATAGCCGCCTTGTGGGTGCTGGGAATCGAATCCAGGTCCTCTGCAAGAGCAGTCAGTGCTCTTAACCGCTGAGCCATCTCTCCAGCCCCAAGACAGGGTACAGTTTTAAAAGCTTTGCCAGGCATTGTGTCACACGCCTTTAATCCCAGCACTTGGGAGGCCAAGGTAGGTGGATCTCTATGAGTTTGAGGCCAGTCTGGTCTACATAGTGAGTTCCAGGCCAGCTGGGGCTACAGGGAGACCCTGTCTCAAAAAGACCAAAAAAAAAAAGCTTTCCAGCTGAGTCTAACAAAATGTGGGCTGCAAATGTCACTTTACACCTGAGAAAGCCACCTGCTTAAATCAATAACGGGGCCTTTTGTGGCCTGAATGCTCTGCCTGGGAGAGGCCTATGGCCTCAGCTGGCTGGGTTAAAACCAGGCATCCAGGCCACAAGCAGGGTCTTCTCTGCCTCCTCCCACACTGCAATCTCACCTGTCCCAGAGCCTCTCCACACGGTGGTAGAGAGTAGACTGACTTAGCTGGAATGTACAATATTGCTACATCAGGTACAAAAGTACTTAACTGGCTAGCTAGCAGCAGCTGTGCTCCAGGACCCTAAACTCCCAAACCTCACAACCCTGCACTACATACTCACATTAGAGGGCCCTGGGTGCCCAGTCTGACAAGTTGTGTTCTCTAATGAGTGTTACATATTTTTATCATCGTCCTGGAAGCGATACAGAAGATGACCCCCCCTCCAAGGGCCAGACCCAAACTTAGAGAAGGGCAGTGCCAAGAGATTGCAGCCTAAAACTTGCCCCTCCGGCTCATCACCCCCACCCGCAGCTCCTTGCATGCCTGTGACTCTTTCTCACCTCTGTCCCCATCATCTTCTGGCTCCTCCTGTTGGGCCTGCTCCAGCACAGCTGCATCCCCCCGAGGTCCTGCTGGAAGGTCCCCATTAGACACTGTCTTGTTCAGTAACAATGGCTGTGCTGGTGGGGGTGGCTGTGCCAGCTTTTGCCGAAGGGCATTGATCTCCCGGCGCAGCAAGCGGACACGACGGGTGCGCGCCCCGCTGGACCGCATGGCGCTCACCAGATCCAGTTTCTCCAGCAGCTCCTTCAGCTGTGCCTCTGGGGACAGATGGGCCCGGTTCTCTGGGATGAGGATGTTGTCCACTGCCAGGAAGAAGGGAGGATAGAGAAGGCTGAAGGGTCTGCCTGGTCCAGGGCAAGAGAAAGGGATCCAAACCTTTTGGAATCAAAATATACCCCTGGAGCGGCCAGGCCCCTGGCTTCTAGCAGTGTCACTGTGGGTATCGGCCTACAACACTGCTACCCGGAAGGGTCAGGTCAGAACTTGGAAAGCATCTGCAGGAAGCAGTTCGCAGTTGCAGCTACCGACTCCGTGCGCCAGGCATGTGGCAGCTTGGCAATCTCCCCACCTCAGGAACTGTCTGGTCGCTGCCATAGGAAAGCACTGAGCAGGGATGATGTGGAGCTCAGGGCATTCAGCAATGTATTCCTCTGACCCCATGTTCCAATGCCACGTGGGGCGGATCCAGGAGACGACTCCTGGTGAGGCCTTCGCTTCACGGACACATGACTACACCAAATTCCCCCTATCCACCACTCACCAAGCACTCAGCACTCAGCGCACTGGTTAAACTTAGAATACTCCAGCTACATGCAGGCATGCCTGAGGGCTCCCACCCACAGTTTTGCTTCTGGAGTCTACACCTCCAAGGCCCACCCTGATGGCTGGCTCTCAGGACCCTGCCCGTGCAGCTCTCTTCCGGGTCCCTCTCCCTACCCGTCCAGGCTTCTCACCGTCCTCCCAGGAGAATCGGTAAAAGTCCTCCAATTTGGGTGATTCGGGCAGGTGGGTGCCCCTCTCGGGGTCATAGCCGATGTTCTCTGCCTGCCGCCGGGCATGCCGCAGGATGGCCCCTCCCAGGTCCCGTAGGCGGACAGCTGCTCGGTGGAAAATTGTGTCTTTAGCATTATACTTCATGCAGTTGGTAACTATAAGGTTAAAGTCCTCCTCAAACTCCTCCAAGGTGTGGTACAGGTGAGACTCCAGCTTCCGCCTCATAGTAGAAAAATCCATTGGCTTGGATATGAATTCCAGGTAATCTGGAACCTAAACATATAAAACCTGTACAATTACAACAACCATTTACTAGCCAAACAGGCGCACCCTTCGCTGGGACTCTTGGCCTCCCACTTTCTGGTCTGGCCATGTCAGGCTCACTCAGAGCCTCTGGGCCTGGCCCACCCTGACCTCCTGCTGACCCCTCACGATGGGAAGTCTACTAGCCTGCCAGACAGTCCACGCTCAGTTTTGAACGTCCTGGGGCCCAGCCCCTTCCTCAGCCTATCCAGAGGCTATTCCAGTTCAGGACAGGCTGCTGAGAGGGGGACTTGCCTCACTTAGGCTGACAGGTTCGGCAAAAATGTGTGCAGGGTCCTTCTCCTGGAGCAGGTCCAGTGTGGTCCTCAGCAACACATTGAATGGCATCAGCTCCAGCTCCATGGTGGCCTGCTGGACCTTGACCTGTAAGGTAAGTAGGAGTGATGAGAACATCCCCAAGGAGGCCCTGAAACTTTGTAACCAGCTAAGGACAGGCACATGTAACAAACTTTCACAAGGTATTAAGCTGCCCTGTGCAAGGAGCTATCATCCAACCCTTAGCACAGAAACAACAGCAGCAACATTGTTGTGGTTTGAATGTCCCCCAAAAGGCCATTTGTGGGAATCTTAGTTCCCAGTGTGGGAGGGTAAGGTGGTAGGCCTAACAGGAGGTGTGGACGTCACATGGGCTCCCTGCCTAGGGATGGATTAAGGGAGGGGTGGTGCAGGCAGGGAGTTTGCTCAGGAGTCATGAAGGAGCCACTGTGGAGGCAAGCTCTCCCACAAGTGTTCTCTCAGCCCTCTGCTTCTCCAAGAATGCAGCATAGGAGTCCTCACCAGTCTGTCTCAGCCCAGGACGCTAGGCCAAATCCGCTTTTCCTTGCAAATTACCCAGTCCTTGATACTCTAGTGCAGCAGCAGACTAGAACAAACAACTATTTTGTGAATGTGTCCTATGCATCAAGCAGCACCCCAAAGCCTACAGGAGTGATAATGGTCATCGACTGTAATAATTAGCACTTTTACAATCCATGCCAGGTACCAGGTAATGGCACAAGCATTTTTTAAGATTTTTTTTTTTTTAATTCTATTATTTTATTTTTTTGTTTTTTGGAGACAGGATCTCCTTGTAGCCCCAGCTGGCCTGGAACTGTGAAAAGCAGGCTGACCTCAATTTCAGAGATCCACCTGCCTCTGCCTCTGCTTCTCGAGGGCTGAGATTAAAGGCGTGCACCACTATGCCTGGCCTGAGATTAATTTTTTTTAATTTTATTATTTTATGCGTATGTGTGTATTGCCTACATGTAGGTAAGTGCACCTGTGTCGTGCAATGCCCGCAGAGGTCAGAAGAGACCGTCGGATCCCCTGGGACTGGAGTTACAGACAGTTGTCAGCTGCCATGTGGGTGCTGGGATTCAAACTCGGGTCTTCTGCAAGAACAACCAGCGTTCTTAACTACTGAGCCATCTCTCCAGCCCCGATTTAATTTTTAATATGCGCATGTGTGTTTCTAAGTGTGGGTATATATACAAGGTGCTGGCCTAAGTAATATAGATGAACCCAAGTCTTAGTCCAAATGCACTGACATCAAATGGGTGCACATACACCGATCTCATAAGCACTTAGAGCCATCTGTGTGGGCCCAAGGTGACCAGGGCTTCCCGGTTCAACTCTCAAGCCACACCCTCATGTTGACAGTGCTGCAGTTATTACAAGTGTTGTTTTGACTCTGTGCCCTAATGTGAACCACCTGGAAGCAGAGGGCGCCTGAGAAGTTCTTGCCTCGTGGACATACCAACATAAACAGGAGCCAGGGCCACCTCTGCTCACTCTTCTGAACCAGGGCAGGAGAAACCAAGCTGGAGCTCAAGCCTGGACAGGAATTAGTTTGAACCTGAGGAGATGGTCTTAAGATGCCCTCCTGCTAAATAAAGTAAGAGCTGTTGGGGGCCAGAAGTGGGAACTCAGGCTTCTGACCTCCCAGGAGGGCTTGTGCTTGAACTGAACTCGAAAAAGAAAGGAACAGTTTTAACCCAAGCCTGGAAAGAAAGCAACAGCTGCTATTCTTGGACTAGAGAGAGTAGTTTGTCACCCATCCGATTAATAATATTTGCTCTCTGGCATGTGTAGAGCGATACAGTAGACACCCAGCACGGCAAAGAGCATCGACACCAGCAACAGCATCAGCAATTCTGCTGCTCTTACTGTGCGCCTGGCAGGCACTCCATCGGATGTTCATCAACCTTTATATAATGGAGGCTCTGCCATACCTCTATACTGGGGGGAGGAAATGGGGGTATTAAGAGATTAAGCAAGCCGGGCCTTGTGTCACACGCCTTTAATCCTAGCACTTGGGAGGCAAAGGCAAGTGGATCTCTATGAGTTCGAGGCCAGCCTGGTGAGTTCCAAGCCAGCTAGGGCTACAGGGAGACCCTGTTTCAAAAAGACCAAAAACAAAACAAAAAAGAGATTAAGCACTTTGCTTAATGCTACGAAAGTAGAAAACAACAGCTAGGACTTAAATAAACCCAGACTGGTGGCAACACACCTCATGCTCCCAAACCACTGTGCTACACCACCGATTCTGACATTCTCTGTGGTCTGGGGCTTAGAATGTTCTTGAATTGAACCTGGTTCTTGAATTGAACCTGGAAATTTTAAGTTATTCCAAGTTCATAAACATTTAAAGGGCTAAGAATGCTCAGGTCGGAGGTTCTCAGCTTACAGTGTTATTAGAACAGCTCAAGCAGCTTTCCAAGCATTCAGGAAGGGTCTCCCTCGAGAATCTCCTGTGTCAGAAACTCTGGATATGGGCTCAGTCGTACATTACTGGGCTTATGCTCAAGTCCACATGAACCACAAAACGCAGAAGACACCACCAGCGCTCCACCCAGCACGGAGCAGGCAGACCTCGGAGCCCACAGAGGTAAGCAGGAGAGGGAAAAGCAAAGCGGGCACCAGGCTGTGTCCAAGTCTCCGAACGTCACACGGGAAGGAGAGACCCTGCTGAGACCCTGGTTGGGAGTCTGTCTCACCTGTTCCCTCTTGAGCTTCTCCCTCTTCCGAATGAGCTCGATCAGCAGCCGGGCGCGCTCCAGGTCATGCCGCAGCTTCTGCCAGTACTTTAGCTCCTCCTTCACCGCGCTGGTCTTCTCATCCTGCTCCCGCTGCAGGGGGCAGAGCAACAGGCGCTGGGGCCGCCACCCTGCCCCACCCCTGGTGGGCCTCTGAGAGCACCAGCACACAGGAAGCCACCCCATCCACGGAGGCTGAGAGCCCGCCCCCATCGCCTTTCTCCTCTGCTTCTTGACATCATCCTAGCATGAGAATCGTGGGGCGGCTTCTCCCGCCCCTGCCCAGAGCTCAGCCACGGGGGCCGCAGAGCTGGAGAGAACTTCAGGAGAAAGCTAGTAAGGCACCCGAGGGGGAGACAGACTCTTGCCCTAGAGCTCTCACTTGGCTAGAAAACTTATTAGTTTATGGACTGAAGTCACTTTGGTAAAACAGCAGAAAAGAGTCTTCTCCTGGAATAGGTTTCTGTTGTTGGGGAAGGGAGGAAACTCAGTATTTGAAATATAAGCGCATCAGCATAAAGAAGAGAAGCTGGTGGTATAAACGGAATCCAAAATGCCGAGAGGAGGGGCAGGACACGGCTCGGCAGTTAAGAACGAGCACTTCTCTTACAGAGGACCCAACTGAGTTGGGTTCCGCAGTAACCGACTGTGGCTCCAGCTCCAGGGGATCGGACACCTTCTGGCCTCCTAGGGCACCTGCACACACCCCACACAGACACACATGCATACACATAATTAAAAAGAAAAATCTTTTCTAAAAATGCTGAGAGGGTACAAAATGGATGGTCGGGAGGTTAGACTTAGGAGGGTGTCTCCGGAGTGCTTCGGGTACAATGGTAGACATGTACGAGGGAACAGTGAGAAAGGCCTCTTCTGGACACCACAGGAGAGGGGCGGAACATGGAGGCAGAATTAGTGATTCTTTGCTTAGTGAGCAAACGGGCTGGCCAAGGTGAAGCTGGAGAGCCAAAAATGGTGAGGATCCAGGAGCCAGCAGGACCCTTACTGCAGATGTCAGCCTGGGGATGGAGCTCAGTGGTACACTGCTGGCTTTGCACCCCAGAAGCCCCAGGGTGGGGGGGGGAGAAGGAGGGAGGGAAGGAAGGAGAGGAGGGAAAGAAAAAGTTAGAAATAAAAAAAAAGAGGGAAGGGAGGAAAGAAAAGGAGTTTGAAAAAGAGGAAGGAAGGCTGGCCCAGCAAGAGTCTGAACTTGGGCTGCCTGGAGCAGGAGGCGTTCCTGAAGAGTGACAGAATGGAAATGTCATGTAAATCAGACACTACCAGTCACAGACCAAAGAAAAGGCTGGAGAGCACCGAGAGAGGTACTGCCAGGTTAGGGGCATGAGTGGGCAGAGGAGTTGGAGAGGAGAAGCAACTTAGGGGAAGAGCCACTGTGACGTGAGTGCCCAGAGTAGAAAGCAACAAGGCGGGGAGCTCGTGACCTGAGCTCCAGGGAGATGAGTTTACTTAGAGGAAGGAAGATAACCAGGACCTGTGCTACAGGTGACAACATCTACATGGAGCATCCCAGGGGGATTAAGGACAGGAAAAATAGCAGTGAGAGCCAGACCTGGACCTTTGGCCACAGTTATCTTCTGGCAAAACGCTGAGCACATTCTCCAAACAACCAACCAGGCTGCAGAGCCCAGGGAATGCTAATGTTAAAGAACGGGAGCTGGAGGGGGCCGAGGACATAGCTCAGTAGTTAACACTGTGGCACAAACACGAGGATCAGAGTTCAGATACCCCAAACCCATGTAAAAAGCTAGGTGCAGTGGTGGCATGTGCCTGGAATCCCAGAGCTGGGGAGGATGCCTGTGGTTTTCTGGCCAGCCAGTCTAACCAAATCAGTGAGTTCCAGATTCAGTGAGTGAGCCTGCATCAGCCGGGCATGGTGGCGCACGCCTTCCATCCCAGCACTTAGGAGGCAGAGGCAGGGGGATCTCTGTGAGTACAAGGCCAGCCTAGTCTACACAGTTGAGTTCTAGACGAGCTAGGGCTACAGGGAGACCCTGACTCAAAAAAAAAAAAGGGACCAAAAAGGTAACTGGTGAGTAAAGGGCCAGCCTAGTCTACACAGTTGATTTTTAGACGAGCAGGGGCTAAAGGGAGCCCCTAACTCAAAAAAAAAAAAGGTGGAAAATGACTGAGGAAAATACCTGACATCGACCTATGTCCTCCACACACATGCAAACATGGCACATGTTGTGTGTATGTGCACACACATGCATACACACACACATGAGAAGTCAGCACAGGGTGCAATGAGAGGGGTGGAAAAGGTTGGAAAGGGTGTCACCGATGTTCGTGGACACAGTGACCAGCGACGTCAAATGTAACCAATGGTCGATGAAGTGAGAGTCTGCTAAGATTTGCCAGGAGGAGGTGGCCAAGTTGTGGGGAGCTTCAGGGAACCAGAAGGTTCAAGAGGAATCAAACACAGGCTTATAACTCAGGATCTTAAATATCAGGCAAACAAATATAAGACAAGACAGAATGCCCAGGGCACCAGTTGGATAAAGGCTGGATGCTTCCTGCAGAGGCAGTGTGGGGAGACTCCAAGACAGACGCAAGGGCAAGGGAGGAGAAAGAACTAAAGAGGAGAAAGACGGAAAGGAAATACGGAGCAGAAAACATTAACCATGCATCCAGCTGCTAATGGCCACCACAGTTGGATAGGCTGTGTATACAAGTAAGGTCACACATTTGTACATTTACTAGGACAGTTTTTGGAGGCAGCGGCACAGTATCTTGAGCAAAGGGCATCTTTTCCCAATTCACACGATGGAGTCACCCTTGCTCACATTCAGCCCACCTCTTCTCAGCTGTCACATCAAGATTCTGCCTACAGACTCAGGGAGCTGGGCTGGCTCTTCACTGGGCCCTGGAGTAGAGTTTGCCCCTAGTCAAATCTCTCCCTTCAGAAAGGGCTGTGAGGTCTGCAGCTCTCTGTAGTGTTAGGAGACTGTTCCTGGGACAGGCAAAGGCTCAGGGAGGAGTGCAGGCCTTCCTCGACCCTCGTCCCTTCTCCCTCCCTCCCTCCAAGCCTCCAGTCATCACTGTACCCACCTGCTCAGCGTTTCTCTGGGACTGGAAGTGGGAGTGCAGGCGCCTGATGAGGGGGACACCATTCCGTGCCTGCCGTTTCAACAGCCAGTAGTTGTGTAGCCGCTGCATGAACTGGTTTTTCCTCTGAAAGGAGAGACCACTACAGATCTTGTTCAACCTTGAGTAGAGGTACAGGGAAGCGAGAAACAGGGTCAGTGGGAAGCTCAGATGACATATAGCTTAGGCATCCTATCCAGATCCCAGTTTATTTCTGGACCTTAGAGAGGAAGACGGAATAAAGTGACCAAATGCCTCACCTCAGAAGAGAGCTGAGAAAAGACAGAGTTAAGCAGCTTGGGAGCGAGAGGTGTTTCACTTGCTTCTCTGTCTTGTCCTGCCGTCCTGATCTTCCACAGGAACCCTCCCCTAGACCCGAATGCCTGCTGTCATGTGCTCCCGCTCCTCTACAACCACGCCCTCCTCTTGATAAAGGCAGCAAAAGAGAACAGGAATTTGAGTAAGCTATGTGTAACGTGGTCGCTATTTCCTGCCATTTGTGGCCAAGGACCCCACCAAACCATGGGGTAGCCCACAACTAAGCTCAAAGGAAGTGTTCCAAATTAATGCCTTCTATATCCAAATGTAACGCCTTAAGAGTTATTTGACTTCTGGGGGTCTGTGTGCATGTGTGTGTGTAAGAGAGAGATGCGCTCTCACTCTACTTGGTACTTGAGATTCCTCTGCCTCAGCCTTCCAAGAAACTGGAACTATAGACATGTACCGCTGTACCCGCCTGACCTCTATCTAGATTTTCAAAAAAACTCTTAGCATCCTACGAATGTCTAAGTTTGAACCAAATATGAAAGGGGGGGGGGTCTAAGTGTGTAAGAGGATAGAAGCTCTAAAATCTTAGCCAGCCAAGGGAAGCAGTAAGATCAGGGTTTTACACTCATAGCACTAGGGGGAAGGAAAAGTAGGAAAGATCTACCAAACATTTCTACCCTGATGCCCACACCATAAGAGCATTATTCCTCCATTACAAGATGGAGAGGCAGCTTAGGAACAGAGGTCCAATAGACTGCCCAAGCTATTAATGCAGCTAAGAAGATGGTGGACGTAGGCGGGGTTTGAATCCACGATCTCCGGACTACTATAGTGTATTTCCAAATCAGTTATCCGCAGGGTAAGCAAGGCTCTGGTGTGTCCGAAGTTCTCTGTTTATCTCCTCATCCCACCCTGCTGAAAGGACACCAAGAAGGTGGGACTCAAGAAAGACGGGCACGTTGGGCAGGACATTGGTCATCTAGGCCTTCATCTCCACAGTCACATCCCTGCCCCAAAGCCAAGCTTACCTGGGCCTCCCCCCAAAGGACAGATCCCCACCAACACCCATGCCAAGCACACCTGCCCACCTGCAGGCAGCCCCCCCTACAACCTCGTGGCCATGGAGGACCCCAATAGCATCTGTGCAGGTAGGGAAAGAACAACACAGCAGCAGCAGCAACGGCCACCATTTATTGAGCGCTTACTATTTGCCAGGCACTGTGCTAAGTGTTTTACTTAGATTACCTCATTTTCCTCAAAATTCTATGTGGTGGGTTCACTCGCAAATAAGCTAAGGCTTAGTGCCATTAAGCAACTTGCCAAAGGGCACACAAATACTAAATGATGCCTTGTTCTTAGCCAGCAAAGCTAGCTCCTGGGAGAGGCATCCAAAACAGACATAACAAACAAGAGGCTAGCCCCAGGGCATAGCCAACCTCAAAATGGGGACTAAGCACAGACCCAGGTCCCTCAGGAAGGAGGTAGCTAAAACAGCTGTGTCTAGAAGACACATTCAGAGTCACTGAACTTCTTCTACACTGGGCCGTGGCCGTCAGTCAGAGCCTCCCCATCATGATCTCATTCTTCTGTCTTCCAGCATGGTAGGTCTGGTTCCCTATCTCCTCGGACAACTCATCTGCTGCCACTTTGCAGCACTCTTCTAGTTCTAACCTTGGCAGGAGACAGCAGACAGCCTGGCTTACAGGCCACAGTCTTTCCACCTGGTCCCAGCCCTTAGCACTGGACATGGCATATAATAAGTGCTCAATAAATATCTCATCAAATGGATAAAGGAGCAAGAACGTTACCTCCCGTGGCTGCGGGGTTCTTCATCTGGGAATGTGGGAGAAGGTGCAAGGACTACATTAGACGAATAATCTCCAAGACTCCTTCCCTCTCTAGCACTGTACACTGTCTAATGAATCACCCAAGAGCACATCTGCTGGAAGATCCTCCCCACTAAGCTCCCATTCCTCCAACAGCTCCAGCTACCTCGCTAACAGTTGAACACAGACACAGTGATCACGATACAGTCAGTGGGAGAGTCCAGTTGGCTTGCTACATAGCTGAACTTTCCCTTAAATTTAAAGCTTCTGAGGAGGAGGAATGCCCCCTCCCATTTCCCTTGTTAAAAGTCCCCATTCTCCCCAGGGCAGAGCTTGGTGGACAGCAGATGTGTTAAACGTAACACACAGCTGGGCGTGGTGGTGCAGGCCTTTGATCCCAGCACTGGGAGGCAGAGGCAAGCGGATCTCTGTGAGTTCAAGGCCGGCCTGGTCTACATAGTGAGTTCCAGGACAGCTAGGGCTACAGGGAGACCCAGTCTCAAAAAGACCAAAAAAAATAATAATAACATAGAAGTTCTCCATTAGGCCTTGCTCTATGTCCCCAGGGGTTTTGGAAACCTGCTTGGAAGCACTTGGGGTTGTCACAAACATCTGGCAACGGGAAGGAAGCGACTGGCATTTATAGAGACCAGAGATGCCAAACGTCTATAAACGTATGCAACAGCTGAACAATAAGAATGATCCTGTCCAAAACGCCATTTAGCGCCACTGTTGAAAAGTACTATACACCCCCTCAGGTTTCTAAGCAACTTACATGTTTTGTGGCATTCTAAGCCAAAAGAAACACATTATTCCTGAGGGTACGATCAAAACCACGAACCAGGCCCAGGTTCCAAAGGGCAAACTTAAATTTGAGAGCAAGGAGGAGATCGGACATCTACCAACCATGTTTGGGAAAGACCTGGCCTAGGGCCAAAACCAAACCAAGAGTCCCTAAAGAGCCCTTTTGAGCAGCCTCACCTGTAAGAGGGGATCTGTGGGACAGTGACCATGGGGACCGCGGCAGAGGGTGTGTCTTGGCCGGCTTCCTCTGGCTCCTTAGAGATCTTTTGCTTCAGACTCGGCTTGTTCTTCCTGGATACCCCTTTGAGGGGGCTGCCTACCCCGCCCTGGCCTTCCTGCTCCTCCTCCTCTGGTTCTTCCTCTTCCTCCTCCTCCCCACCACCCTCCTTCAGTCCATCCTCGTCCCCAGCCTCACTGAGGCTTTTGGGTGAGTGTGCCTTCCTCCTGGCAGGGGCGGCACCCGGCGAATGCACCTCACAGTAGGCAGTCTTGCGCACAGTGAAGATGGTGCCATTGAGGCTGGTCTCTCTCATGGGCTCAATCTTCATGAAGAGGCCAGCCCGCTGCGCGCATGTCACGTGGAAGGCCGTGTAGCAGTTCACTTTGTGGCACTGGATGGCCGCGCCCAGCCCCTTCTGCTTGCAGATGTAGCAGGTTAGTTTCCAGCGGGCAGGTGGGATGTTGTCAATGCCCTCAATCGGCTCCAGGAACACGGTATTAGCGAAGCAAACTTCAGGGATCCAGATGGCACAAACCACGTGGGCCCAGTGACCATCACTGGTCTGTTTGAAGGCCCCGCCCTTATTGGGGCATAGGACACAATCCACAGGTCGAGACGGAGACTGCAGGCAGCAACGGCACAGCCACTGGCCTTCGGGGATGTAGGGAACGCCATAGCATTCCTGGTGGACAGCTAAGTTGCAGATGTCACAGAAGAGAATGACATTACTGTTGTGGCACTCATCGTCCAGACACACACAGCAGAAGGCATCTTCATCGATTAGGGACTGCTGGGCCCCACTGCTGCGACTCTCCAAGTACGACTCCTTCTCCAGCCGGTCCACCAGCAGCTCGAAGGTATCTGCCGACACCGAACCGTGGCCGTCCAATCTCCGCTTCTCGTTCACCATATCCAGCCAGGCAAGGTCCTCCTCATCCATGTCATACTCAACCTCCGCATCCAGCTCTTCAGGAGGCTTCTCAATGTAGCGGTAATAAGCAGCAGGCAATGGGAACGCCTCTAGCTGGCTGCCTGTATCCACCACACGGAAGCTGGGCTGTGGGAGGTGGAAGGTGCCAGATGCATGCTTGGAGCAGGACTCCTTCTTCTTGCCCTTGGATGAGGGTTTCTTGGACTTGGCAGGGAACTGAGGCTGCTCACTGTTTTCTTTGTTACTATTGCATTCGGTGATATCCTGAGCAGTCAGCTCATCCTCTGTGATGATTTTGAGTGGATCATAAATGCTGATCCGATGGAGGCGTCCATCGATGTCCACTTCGACAATCCGCTGGGCCTGGGCATAGGTCAAGGTCTCTCGCGTGGGTGAGCACTTGAGGCTGTAGGGAGATGGGGAACGGCGGCCCTCGGCATTCTGCCGTGACTTTCGACGAGGCTTCCTCATGGCAACCGGGAACCAAGAAGACAATCCTAAGGAGAGAAGACCAGGAAACTGTGAGCCGGACCCTGGTTCCTGCACACACTCATCTTCCATCTGACCAAGTGGACTCTATAGAGAGCTGTTTCCTCTGCCTAAAAAATGTACATCCTGAGGCTTCACCCTTTTCCAGTTTTTTCCAGCACCACTTAGCAGTGAGACTTCTCTGATTACTTTAAAATTGCAAATCCCAGGTGGGGGATTTAGTTCAGGGGTAGAGTGCTTGCCTAGCAAGTGCAAAGCCCTGTGTTCAGTCCTCAGCTGTAGAAAATAAAAAAAAAAAAAAAAAGACGACAAAATAACAAAGATCAAACAACAACAACAAAAGAAAATCCAAGGCAACTAGTATACACAATCTCTGGGGGCTGGAGAGGTGGCTCTGTGGTTAAGAGCACTGGCTGCTCTCACAGAGGAACCAGGATTCAGTTCCCAGAACCTACATGGCAGCTAAGAACTGCCTTTTAACCCCAGTTCTAGGGGGTCCAACACCTGCATCTGGCCTCCGTGGGTATTGCACACACATGATGCACTTACACACATGCAGACAGTACACTCATACACATAAAATAAAAACAACTTTTAAAAAAAATTGCAAATGCGGGGGCAGGAGAGATGGCTCAGCAGTTAAGAGCACTGACTGCTCTTGCAGAGGATCTGGGTTTGATTCCCAGCACTCAACATGGCAGCTACAAACTGTCCTTAACTCCAGTTCCAGGGAATCTGACACCCTCTTCTGACCTCCGCTGCATTGCATGACACAGGTGCACTCACATACATGCAGGAAATACACTCATACACATAAAATAGAAATAATATTTTTTTTAAAAAATCGCAAATCCAGGGCCGGGCGTGGTGGCATACACCTTTAATCCCAGCACTTGGGAGGTAGAGGCAGGCAGATCTCTGTGAGTTCAAGGCCAACCTGGTCTACATAGTGAATTCCAGGACAGCTGGGGCTACAGGGCGACCGTGTCTCAAAAAGACCAAAAAAACCCCAAAATTTGCAAATCCAAGCCAGGCATGGTGGCACACACCTTTAATCCCAGCACTTGGGAGGCAGAGGCAGGAGGATCTCTGTGAGTTCAAGGCCAGCCTGGTCTACACGGTGAGTTCCAGGTCAGCTGGGGCTACAGGGAGACCCTGTCTCAAAAAGATGAAAAAAAGCAAATCCTTCTCAACCAGCAATGGACTTTTCATCCTTTTTTCTATAATATCTACCAAACTGCAGATTTACCTATTTATTAATGTTTATTAAAACATAAACTCCATGGGGGACGGATACAAAGCTCCTTAGTACTCAGTAAGTGCTAAGTAAAATTAAACCCTTTTGCGTTTGTGTGTGGCGTGTGCAATGTGGAAAGGCCAGGTGTTAATATCAGTATCTTCCTCAATCACTCTCCAGCTTATTTTTGAGTCAGGGTCCCTCACTGAACCCAGAGCTCATGGTTTTGGCTAGACTGACTGGCCAATGAGCATCTGAGATCTACCCGTCTCTGCCCCCAACACTAGGATTACAGTCTGTGCCTTTAACATGGATGCTGGGGATCAAACTCAGGTCCTCATGCTTGTACACCAAACATTTTACCCAGAGTCACCTCCCCAACCCTGAAATTAAATACCTGTGATCCCTGTTCTCAAGGAGTTCTGTCCAATGGAAGGGACAGAAAAATAGATCCTTACAACATGACACAAGGTAAGATCTGATAGTCTAATAATTCTAATTCTAACAAGGCTATAGGACAGTTAACTATGGAAAAAGAAGATGGCTAAGGCTTTGGAACAGAAAACAAGAAGGGCATATTGGTACATGCCTGGAGTCCCAGCTACTTGAGACTAGATCAAGACTGCTTGAGCACAGGCGCCCAAGGCCAACCAGCCTGGACACAAAGGCTCAAGGCTAGCCAGCCTGGACACAAAGTGAGACCACGCTTTTAAAAAAAAAAAAAAAAAAAAAAAAAAAAAAAAAAAAAAAAACCCATCCACTTTCAAGGATTAAAGGACAACAGGTCTACAGCCCTCTCCCAACACATGGTTAGAAGGCCTAGCTCTCAGCCCTGTCCAGAGTAAAGACATCTGAAACGCCTATCATATAGGGTCCATTTTCTTTTTAATTTTATAATTATGGGTGTTTTGCCTGCATGCATGTAAGAGCACCCGTGTCATACAACACCCATGGAGGTCAGAAGAGGGCATCAGATCCCCTGGAACTGGACAGTTGCTAGCTGCCATGTGGGTGCTGGGTCGAAACCGGGTCCTCTGTAAGAGCTGCCAGTGTTCTAACCGCTGAACCATCTCTCCAGCTCCACATGTGGTCTCTTAAGGGTATTTCCTACAAAAGGCAGCATTCAAGATAACTGCCTAGCCAGGCTGGCCAGGTCTGGGCATTGCTGAGTGTTGACCGCTCTCAGAACTCAGTAAAAGCAGGCTTCTGGAAGACATGGTGAGGCAAGCTTGTAATTTCAGTGCTCACAAAGCAGAGGCAGGTGCATCTCTATGAGATGGAGCCCAGCCTGGTCTACATAGCAAGTTTCAGGCTAGCTGGGGCTACAGGGAGACCACATCTCAAAAACAAACAGAAAAAAAGAGTCCAGGCTTCTGAGCCTAGTGCTTAACAGGACCCAAAGTAAATTGTTAAAAATCCAGTCAGGGGGCTAGAGAGTAGACTCGGTGCTTAGGAGCCCTTACAGCTCTTCAGAGAACCCAAGTTCAATTCCCAGCACCAATGCCTGCTGTGAGTAGCCGTTAACTCCAAAACTGCACTCACGTGAGTGCGTGCGCACGCAAGCACACACACACACATACACACACAAACTGAGAATTCATAATAAAATAAAAATAATCACATGCACAACTGCCCCCCCCCGCCCCCGATATACAATTAGAAAGTAAAAAAGAAAAAAAGATAACTGTCTGGGTCATTTACAAGCCCAAACCTTGCAAGCTCTGGGAAAGGCTCTAAGAAATGTTTTAAATTTTAAGTAGCCCATCTGGGATCTTCATTGGACTCAAGGACAAGTTCACTGGGGGAGCACCTAGGTGAATTCTCAATGCACCACTACCTCCAAAATCCCTCTCTCTGTTATACATCTAGTCTACCTTTATGGAGTAAAGAGAAAGGCCTATGGTTCTGACATTCTCTGGATTTAGGGGACGGCCAGAGGTTCATAAGGAACAGTGGCAGGCAGTTACCAAAGGCATCCTTACCAGGAAGGCTTTTGAGGATATGGTGCTGATAGCTCAGTGTACTTTTAACAAACTATCAAGACTTTTTCATTATTTCTCCCAACTACCTTGGGAGATGGTATAGACGTTAACATCTCCAATTCTTGGATGAAGAAACAGAAGCTCAGAAGAGCTTTACTCAACCAAGTGTAATTTTCGATAAAGCTACAATTTGAATCCAGACTGGGAGGTAAGCACACAAGAGAGATACCATGATCTGGTGCAAAGAAGTTTGGGAGCAATCTAGGTTCTAATCTTGTCCTGTGTAATCTGGAAAAAGTCTCTTTAATGATGCCTCTGCACTGCATCAATAAAATGACAATATCTATGGTTTTCGTTATTGTCATTTTTAGTTTTTTGAGATAGGGTCTCTCTCTCTGTAGCTCCAGATGGCCTGGAACTGGCTATGTAGAACAGGCTGGCCCCAAACTCAGAGATCCATCTGCCTCTGCCTCCTGAGTTCTGAGATTAATCATGTGCCACCACGCCCAGGTAATAATATCTACTTCTTAAGGATCATCAATAGGTTATCATTAACAACCTTACTGAAAAGGCCTTCCAATCCCAAACCGTGACTTAAATAGACCGGCTGAGGACGGTGCCAAACTAGCACACACCCCTTTTGGAGCCAAAGGAAACACAGTCACCAAGGCAGTTCTGTCTGGCTTCCAGGTGCCCTGGGGCCACTAGACTGTTTACAAATGCAAGATCTGAGGAACCTCCAGGCTAATAGTTTTCGATAAAGCTACAATTTGAATCCAGACTGGGAGGTAAGCACACAAGAGAGATACCATGATCTGGTGCAAAGAAGTTTGGGAGCAATCTAGGTTCTAATCTTGTCCTGTGTAATCTGGAAAAAGTCTCTTTAATGATGCCTCTGCACTGCATCAATAAAATGACAATATCTATGGTTTTCGTTATTGTCATTTTTAGTTTTTTGAGATAGGGTCTCTCTCTCTGTAGCTCCAGATGGCCTGGAACTGGCTATGTAGAACAGGCTGGCCCCAAACTCAGAGATCCATCTGCCTCTGCCTCCTGAGTTCTGAGATTAATCATGTGCCACCACGCCCAGGTAATAATATCTACTTCTTAAGGATCATCAATAGGTTATCATTAACAACCTTACTGAAAAGGCCTTCCAATCCCAAACCGTGACTTAAATAGACCGGCTGAGGACGGTGCCAAACTAGCACACACCCCTTTTGGAGCCAAAGGAAACACAGTCACCAAGGCAGTTCTGTCTGGCTTCCAGGTGCCCTGGGGCCACTAGACTGTTTACAAATGCAAGATCTGAGGAACCTCCAGGCTAATAGACTAAATTACCCACCTCTCCAAAGGCAAGGCGGCCCTAGGGAGACCAGAACACCTACTTCAATATCTTACTTTTTTGGAGACACCCTCTCAAAATGTAGCTCAGGCTGGCCTCCAACTCACAGAGGTCCTCCAACCTCTGCCTGAGTGCTGGGATGAAGCACCCAAACCCCACCTGGCTTCAACACCCATTTTTTTGCAGGGTTAGTCTCTCTGCAATCACCTCCCAGCTTCTACCCCTCAGCACCTCAGGAATCATCTACACCCAGCTCCCAAGTTCCCAAGTCTCCATTAAGTGACTTTCGCTCACAAGGAGCCAACAGTCTAGACCAGTTATTTTTGGCGGGAGTTTCCTCGCGTACACAACTCTTTCCACAACCATGATCCCCCAAAAGACCCAACACAACCTCCCTGAACCCCAACTCGCCCACCTCAACCCATCCCCGGAGAATGAGGACTTTCTCCAAAGAAACGAACACCCCCCCCACACACACACCCCTGCACGCCACACTAGGGAAGACCCTGGACAAGGTTGCTGCCCCTTTAAAGGGGTGCCCCTTCCAGAAGACTCCACACTCACACACACCCGCCGCCGCCCCCACCCCCCGAGAAAGGAGGGGGGTACAGGCCCTCCCCAAAGACCAGAGGGCAAGCGCACCACACACTGACGCGGAGTCCGACCCTCGCAGAGAAAGCGAGCGCCAGCAAACCAACCGAGGCAGAGAGGCGAGCTCCTATTGGCCGCCTGACCTGCCCGTCAAGCGGAGAAACCGGAGAGCCAAGGGAGACGCCGAGGGCGGGCTCTCGTCTAGCCTGACCAATTGTACAGCGTGAGGAGGGCGGGGCTTAGTAGCTGGGCTACCCGGACCGCGGAGAAACAAGATGGCGGGTGCGGGAGGGGGGTCCTCGCTTGGCAGCTCCCCCCCTCACGCCTTCTTCCCCGCCCGCCACCCTAGCTCCAGAGCACGGCTTGCGCGTCGGCCCCGGGGCCCAGCTCGGGACCGCTCTTGTCTTCCCCACCGCCCACCTCCCCATTCGTGCGCAGCCCTCGGTTCTCCACCGCCCCCGCTCGCTCGCTCCCCGCAGCCCCCATTACCTCAGCCGCCGGCCGGACCCCTCGCTCCCGGGCCCCGTGGGTGCGTGCGTGCGGGCCCGGCCACCCGGCAGGTCTACGCGGCGCGGACGGGCGGGCGAGCGCGGCCTCCTCCCGCCTCCGCAGCCTCCGTTGCGCCCCGGCCGCCGCTCCCGGGGGGGAGGAGGGGGAATGGAGCCGCTGCCGCCGCCGCTGCCGCCACGGAGCCCGGCCGAGGGGAGGGAGGGATCAGCCCCCAGGCAGGATCCGCCCCTCGGCCTCCCCCCGCCACCTCCACCCCTTCCCTCGCTCCCTCCCCGGCTCTCCCCCGCGGAAGGCGAAGCGGGAGCGCAAAAGAGCGGGGAAACCGGAGCAGATGCCCCCGCCCGATCCCCGGCGCGGAGCCGCCTGGCCGCCTTGCCGCCGCCACCGGGCCCCGGTCCCCCGCTCGGCCTCACGGTGGCGGTGCGGGGTGGACCCGGCTCTGCGGTCTCGCTTCGCCCCCCTCCCCCGGGCCTGCCCGGGAGCCAGGGGTGCTCGAGACTAGTTGGAAAAGACCGAGGTCCCCCCAACCTGTAATGCACAGGGCCGTGTTCTCCCCACCCCTCGGGGGAGGTGAGCAGGGTTTGGGGGCGGTCTGCAACCTCCCCGAGGTGATGGGACACCCCTCCCTCCTCCGCGCCTCCAAAGGTTAAGCCAGGTGGCCACGGAGGTCCAGAGGATGTATGGTTTGCACAGCTCCCCAGAAAGTCGTCCCGCCCCCTCCCCCCAAGTGGGATAACCGGGGAAAGACCCGCGCCTGCGGTGTGTCTAACAGGTGAGCCTCCAGGCTGCAACAGACCCGACTTTTCCATCTATATTTAAAGAAAGAGTCAACATAAAACTTTGACAGTCTACTTAAGGACGTCTGGTAATTCCGTTTGCCACTCTAGACATGGGAAATAACTTTCTCCTTAAATCTGATTTGGCTAGGAGGCGGTTAATTTAATGCACTAGGCGGCTTTCTAAAAGATGCTTGACAAATAGCAACTCAAGACTTTCCCCTGTACTCAAACTGCCTTTTGTCCTGATAAAATAATAAATTCAAGAATAAAAAGTTCCTTTGCCACCCCCTTTCACCTATAAATTGGAAAGCTTACCTCTCAGGAGTGAAGTCTTAAACACCAATATTTAACTTAAATACCAATTTTGTGCTTATAAAGGAAATATGGATAAGCTGCCATCAAATACGAAGATGAATGACATTTTGAAAGCGTTTCCTCTGCCCGCGCTGGTGATGTAACTTGGTGAGACTTTCACACTTGCTGGCTCGGTTCTGATGATCCAGATCATCGTCTACATGGTTAAGTTGAATAGTGCTGCTTGACATACAAGTTTTCTGCATCCTGAGGAATTTAAATAATAGTTTGGTTAAAGCAAGGAAGCTAGTTTGCATTACACAGGTGTTTTCTGAATAAATGGTAACAGTGCAAAAACAACCAATTTTTAAGGAGGAAAGGGAGTGGCTTGTGGAGCTGAGCAAGGGCAGGACAATGTTTTGAAAGCTGTGGAGATGAAATAGTTATGAATTACTGTCAGTTCTAAAGCTAGTGGGAATAATCATTTGGAGGGAAGGTGTGGAAGAAAAGATTAATTGTGGAAGGGAAAACCCTAGGGGCAAGAGAATATTGCAATTAATTTTAGTTTTTTAAAAGATTGCCGGCCGTGGTGGTGCACGCCTTTAATCCCAGCACTAGGGAAGGAAAGGCAGGCGGATCTCTGTGAGTTCAAGGCCAGCCTGGTCTACATAGTGAGTTCCAAGACAGCTGGGGCTACAAGGAGACCCTGTCTCAAAAAGACCAAAAAAAAAGAAAAATTAGGATGAGGATGACTGAATGTGGGGGTGCATGCCTTTAATCCCAGCACTCAGGAGGCAGAGGTGGGCAGATCTCTGAGATCGAGGCCAGCCTGGTCTACATAGCAAATTTCAGGCCACCTGGGGCTACAGGGAGACCCTATCTCAAAAATCTGAGGAACAAAAACATTTTTTATAAGATTTATTTTTTATTATTCTTAACTTTGCACATGCATGTGTGTGGATATATGTGCACATAAGTTTGGTGCCTAAGAAGGCCAGAGTAAGTGTTAGATCTCCTGGAGCTGGAGTTACAAGTGATTGTGAGCTGCCTGATGTGGGTGCTGGGAATTGAACTTAAGTCCTTTACAAGAGCAGTATGTGCCCTTAACCACTGGCCATCTCTGCAGCCCAAGAATTTTGTGTTCTTTTATAAATAAGAAATAATAACCATTTGTATATATGGCATTTATCTTTTATTCTTTAAGAATTTCATACCTGTTATACGTTGAACACTGGTTTCTTGAAGGATGGTCTTAAAATTTCTTTAACACAGTCTCCTTTGAATGATTGGGAGGAATCATTTTCCACTTACGTGAATGAATAAATAAATACTTTGAGAAAAATGTCCCAGTTTCTGTTTGAAATAATGATTTAAATGCTGTTGAAAGTATGTTGGCAGCCTAATGCCTGTTGTATTCACTTTTCTAAGACCTTACTCGCCCTGCTCTCCTCCAGCCTCACCCTCCGCTTTTCACATCACCACCGCATCACAGCTTTCCTCCTTGTCATTTTTGACATTGGAAATTGGTTTCTGTATCCAACTGCACATCTCTAGGATGTAATCGTCAGTGCAACGTGAAACAATTATATCATTAAAAACAAATTTGGATCAGAAATCCCAGAGGCACTACATTTAATTCATTTTAATCTTTCACTGTTTGAAAGAACCTGAATCTATCAGTCCCTTGCCCTTTCCATTACACTCCGCTGCAATTAAGTGCAACAAAACAAGGACAATACCTTCGATTCCAAGTATTTGTGTTTTTTCAAAGTTTTGTAGTTATTCACAGTGCAAGTGTGGAGGTCAGAGGAACAACTTTGTGGCATCAATTCTCCGTCTTTTTTTTAATATTTTATTTTTATTTTATGTGTATGTGTGTATTGCCTTCATGTAGGTAGGTGTACCCGTGTCATGCAATGCCGGCGGAGGACAGAGGAGGCCGTTGGATCCCCTGGGACTGGAGTTACGGACTCCAGTTAGCTGCCGTGTGGGTGCTGGGATTCGAACCTGGGTCTTCTGCAAGAACAGCCAGTGTTAACTGCTGAGCCATCTCTCCAGCCCCCATCCTTCATTTTTATATGGGTTCCAGGGATCACACCGGTCATCAGGCCTGCACTGCAAGCACTCCACTTGCTGAACCATATCACTTGTTTTTACCAACTGTTTTACCCAAACACTTGTTTTTGAGAATCAAAGTAGAGGGGTGGAGAAATGGCTCTGCGGTAAAAGCACTGGCTGCTCTTCCAGAGAACCTGGGTTTGATTCCCAGCACCCACATGGTGGCTAACACCCGTCCAAAACTCCAGTTCCAGGGCACCCAATGCCCTCTTCTGGCCGTCGTGGGCATTGCATGCACATAGTGCACTCATATGTGCAGGAGAACACTCAAAAATTTTTTAGTATTTTAAACTGTTGGTTATTTTTTTAAAAAAGAGTCCAAATAGAAACATTATTTTGAATAGGAAAATGTTTTGCTGTTTAGAACTAAAAGAAGAAAACCTCTGTTCTCCACACACTGGCTTTTTCCTCCCCAGCATTTCATAATACCTCTGGATAGTGTCTCACGATTTATCTTTAGCTCACCTTGGTAGGAGCACTCTTTAAAGAAGCTGGTGCTGTGCCCTATGGATTAATAAAATATGTGTGAAAAGAAAAAAACTAGGCCTTGACTGATTGCTAAATTGCTTTTAATAGAGTATTCCATCCTCAAATACTTGGCTGAAAGATTTCTGAAAAGTTGGGAAGAAAGAGGCTGAAATCTTTCTATTCTTAATGATTTTAAAATATAGTTTGCTTTGAAAAGGAGGAAGTTTAGAAATAAGTCTTTTGTGTTTGATTGATGGTTTTTGGTTTTGTTAAGATAGGGTCTCCCTGCTGTAGCCCAGACTAGCCTAGAATTCACTAGATTGTGTGGGGTGGCCTAAAACAATCAATTCTCCTGCCCCAGCTTTCCTAGTGTTGGGATTGCTGGTGTATGTCACCTCCCCAGGCACAGTAAGTATTAAATAGAATACCAAGCCCTCTAAATTGAAGTCCACTTATTCCTAAAATGTGTTTATGGACCACTGCTGTGTGTCCAACATCATGAAAGTGAAAACTAATGACAAAATTCCAACCTAGATAGGGGTAGGAAATGTTCTTTCCTTACCTTGAGTGGAACACAAGCCAGCAAGCCAGAAACGACTAGAAAACACATGTAGGGGAACTTAGGTCAGGCAGTGACCAGTGTGGAGCCACGTCATTCAGAGACTTCTAGGAGGGAGAGAAGCTTCTTTGGCTAGGTTCTAAATAGCATGAATGGAGGGGCTTGGGGAGAGGGCTCTGCAGTTAAGAGTGCTTGCTGCTCTTGCAGAGGAACAGAGTTCGGTCCCAGCACCCACTATTGGGCTGCCAGGATGCACCGCCCTCTTCTGGTCTCCATAGGCATAGACACATACACATAAAAATAAAATCTAGAAAAAATAATAGTGTGAATGTAAAGTAGCCCAGCATGGAGCAACATGGATTGACATTATTAGGCTGGTGACAGGGCAGCCCTGGCAAAGGGCAACATGCAACATGGGCCTGTCGTCCTAGATACTAGGGAAGCATGCACTCACACCCACACAGGTACACTCTGCCTGGTTTGGAATTTTACTCGCGTGTTCCCGCCCCCCCCAAGAATCCACAGTCCGCTGCTTTTAAAATTATGCATTTTAATTTTATCCTCTAGTGATTGTATACATTGTGAGCTAATCAATACTGTAAGTCTTCGAACGATACAAGGAAGTGCCCAGACTGCCAGTCACATCCTGGACTGCACCAGTGCTTTAGACCCGTCTTTTCATTCTGATTTTTCTCAGCATGCAGAAACAGTCTCCATCTCACACTTGCCCTTCAGGGCTGGAGAGATGGCTCTGTGGTTAAGATCACTGGCTGCTCTGGCAGAGGACCTAGGTTCGATTCCCAGCACCCACATGGTGGCTAACAACCATCCATAACTCCAGTTCCTGGAAACCCAACACTCTCTTCTGACCTCTGAGGGCATTGCATGACACAGGTGTTCCTACCTACATACAGGTAATATACACATAAAAAATAAAAATGAAAAAGTACAATATTTAAAAACAGAAAAGGCTAGCCATCTGAAT